CGCGGGCGCGGTGGGGGCGATAAGGATGGGTAGCTTGGGGTCGTTGGACGAATTTCTATTTGCTGCGACCGGACTTTGGATGGTACAGTCTACTCACAAGGCGCTTGAAGGCCGCCAGATCGTGGTCGGCGGGTGCGGGCGCGGTGGGGGCGATAAGGATGGGTAGCTTGGGGTCATTGTACGAATTTCTATCTGCTGCGACCGCACTTTAGATCTACTCACGAGGCGCTTGAAGGCCGCCAGCTCGTGGTCGGCGGGCGCGGGCGCTAGTCTTCTACAAGGTCAACTGCTGAGAACCAGCTCGCACACTCACTGCGGGCGCCCGTCGCACAGTCGCGACAGCAATATAATTACGCGCAAACGATAAGGATGGGCAGCTTGGGGTCATTGGACGAATTTCTATCTGCTCGGCGACCGGACTTTAGATCTACTCACGAGGCGCTTGAAGGCCGCCAGCTCGTGGTCGGCGGGCGCGGGCGCGGCGGGTGGCGGGTGCGCGCGCGGGTGCTGCGGCCTCAAACGCGCTTCCAGTTCTTCCAGGCTCTGCATCTTGCCCGCGTTGGAGCCCACGCCTGAGTTCACGCCCATGCCTGAAAATAACACATAGTTTAGAAAAAAAAAAGGTCGGTTGTGAGAAAATATCAGTCCGAAGGGCAGCTAGGAAATGCTAGGAATCTTTCAACTGCTACAGCTGTTGACATTGTAGTAAGGTACGATTACAGGAATGCATGGAAGGAGGATTTTTATAGCTACTCGTGGTTGTGACTGATACGGGGATATTCTGATGTAGTTCTATCAATTAGGATTAGATTTCAAGTTACCAGGTGGATAATTTACGCAAGCATTCTCTGCTATGACAGCGTTGACTGCTACAGAGTTATTACGCTTATCATGACCTTACAAAAGCGTCTCGCATATGCCGTAGCATTCAGAAATGTGCTACCAATGTTCTTACTGCTACGAAAACGTTACTACGGATCTTTTAACTGCTACAGCTGCAAGGACTGAAGTAGGTAAGGTATAATGACTAACCTTACTTACTGTTACGAATATGAAAAATGTTTATCCGCTACAGCTGCAAGTACTCCAGTTAGCAGGCATAGTGACTAACCTTTGTGTTCAATATGCTCGTTGACGCGTGCTATGAACATGTTGCTACAAATCTTTGAACGGCTACAGCTGTGTTATATGCTACCGTCAGTAGGTAAGTTGACTGACCTTGATGCGGCTCTCTCACTGCTACGAACATATTGCTACGGATCTTTTAACTGCTACAGCTGCAACTACCGTCAGTAGGTAAGGTGACTGACCTTGATGCGGCTCTCTCACTGCTACGAACATATTGCTACGGATCTTTTAACCGCTATTGCTGTAAATACCGTAAGCAGGTAAGGTGACTGACCTTGATGCGGCTCAATAAGCGCGTTGGCCTGTCGCAACAAGTCCAGCAGGGAAGGCGAGATGAGACCCCCTTACCACGCAGTGGCTTAGTAAGTGGGAGCGTGCTACGGACGTTCTTACTGCTACGAATATGTTGCTACGGATCGTTTAACTGCTACAGCTGCAACTACCATCAGTAGGCAAGGTGACTGACCTTGATGCGGCTCAATATGCGCGCTGGCCTGTCGCAACAAGTCCAGCAAGGAAGGCGAGATGAGACCCCATTACCACGCAGTAAGTGGGAGCGTGCTACGGACGTTCTTACTGCTACGAAAACGTTACTACGGATCTTTTAACTGCTACAGCTGCAACTACCGTCAGCAGGTAAGGTGACTGACCTTGGTGCGGCTCAATATTCGCGTTAGCCTGTCGCAGCGACCTGACTGACCTTGGTGGCGGTTCAAGTGTTTTGTTCAGCTGCAAGTGTTATGTACTACATACCAGAGTAAATACAAATGAGTAGGTCATCTTCATAGAAACGCACCGAGCGCGGTTTGTATGACTGACAAAATTCAGCGCAGCTCACCGCCAATCCACGCTAAATTTTGTCAGTGTGTGCGTGCGCGCCGCATACGTATTGGCGCGCTCACATACAAACCGCGCTCGGGCGTTTCTATGAAGATGACCTACTCATTTGTATTTACTCTATACATACCGTCAGCAGGTAAGGTGACTGACCTTGGTGCGGTTCAATATGCGCGTTGGCCTGTCGCAACAAGTCCAGCAAGGAAGGCGGGCGCGGGTGCGCGGGCGGCGAAATCGGCGCGAACACGTGCGCTTCCGCGCTCGGCGTGCCCGGCGTAGGTCGCACAGGCTCGTCCAAGTCTATAGGAAATAACACTTATTGATGTTGATGGATTCTTCATGATTAAAGTGCCCATCTCCGAGATGGGACTGAGACTCAGTGCCAAACAGAATGCATTTCTAGCTCGTGATGATAAAGAGCTTACGCCACATTCTCTTATGGGCTAATTTTTCAATCGTCGGATAACTTTTAACTGAAGAATAAGTTTGGCACATTGACAGTTTCAGCATGGAAAATATGTCAAAATGACAAGTTTATTCTTCAGTTAAAAGATATCTGACGATTAAAAAATCAGCCCTGTGGCGTATTGTGCCGGTAGCATACTGTAAACCAGAGCGCTAGCGGTACGCGCACTGTTTGGCAAAGCCTGTAGAACTTAAAAAAATACAGCCTGTCAAGTGATAAAACCTTCAGTATTTCCCACAAAATGTTACTTCGATCAAAGATAAAAACGCCACAGATTACTTCAACAAAATATTTTTGGCAATCTGTTTCTTCGATCAGTATTTTTTTTATTAACCTATTAGAATAACCTGTAAATACATACACAGTTTTAGAAATTACCTCGCAAAAGGAGCACAAAAAAATTGTATAGGTTACAAACTCACCGTCAACCATGTTGTGCAGCAATCGTTCGTAGTGGCGCGCGTCGTTAGTGGGGCTTTCGCGGCGGAACCAGCGGCTGAAGCGGCTGCCGCCCTCGGACTCCCCGGTGCCGTTCTACAATATCAACATAAGATAGAATTAATGTCACATTCAACTTTATCTAACGATAAAATAACACAGGGATCTTGTGTGAGGCAACCGTGATTGATCTAGCAAAACACAGCTCAACTAAATGGATTGCGCAGATACATAGTTATTAAAAACACAGGCTTGGAAAGTATTAATTTGCACTATAAGGTGATGACAAGCGGGTTCAAAGTTAACGCGAGCGAAGCCACGGGCAAAAACTAGTCCTTAAATAAAATGATTTGATTTTGAAATAAGATAGCGGCTTGAGAATATAAAATATACTATGCGCTGAGATATTTTTTTATCTGGATATGTATACTATTAGCAGGATGACCATACATTTTATAGTTCCAAAATACTGAACTGTCCTATCGATGACATTGACAGCGGGGCGCCACCGTCAATACCGAATCGCTGGTTCCGATTTTTGCCATGTTGGAAACCATAAAGTTGAACGATGGTAGCGCCCCCCTGTCATTGAGTTTGGCGGGACAGTTCAGCGTGGGTCATCTATAATAGCAAACTACTAATAATATAATAAGACACGGAAGTGTCAAACTTGATGTGCCATCTGAAGAATATAATTGTTGTTCTAGTTACCGTGAGCACGTCAGGTATGGTGTCGAACTTGAGGAACTCGTCGAGGTTGAAGTCCGGCTGCTCGTTGCTGGCCGCCGGCTCCTCCGCCTTCGACTCCACGCCGGAATCCTTGTCCTGATTGATAGATAGACGATTATTTACATTGCAGTAAGCATAATTACAAACAGAAAATACCATAATTTTGTCAGTGTGTGTGTGCGCGCCGCATACGTATTGGCGCGCTCACATACAAACCGCGCCCGGTGCGTTTCTATGAAGATAACCTACTTATTTGTATTTACTCTGCTAATAGTGATGTAGCTATAGACTGACAGTGAGGCTTATGACACGACTGGCAAGTGAAAGGACCTTACTGTCCAGTGTCGCGCCATCCTGGTGAGTGCAAATCGAATAGTTCTCCTATCGCTTCAGCGTTCACCAGTTGGCGCCATCTATCTAAGTCAATAGCAATTGACAGGTAAGTTCTAAAACGATAGCCCTCATTGTGACTGTATAGTATAGTGCCATTTCAAAGCAAAGTAACTGAAAATGCTTGAATTGAATAATAAATCAACTCACATTGCTAGTGTTGGGCGATTCCGCGGGCGGTGCGGGCGAGGGCTCGCGCCAACGCTCCGCCGCCGGCGACCGCGCGCCGCCACTGTTGTTCCATTTCTGGAACGATACACATATTGAATACACTCGTATAAAACAAGATATTATTATACTTTAAAAAAGACATGATTGTGCTTCGTTCGTTTCAGCCAAATGACGGCGACTGCTGGACAAAGGCCTCCCCCAAGGTTTTCCACAATTAAAGGTCCTGCGCTGCCCGCATCCAGGCTATTCCCGCGACCTTTACCAGATTGTGCTTATGTAAGTCTTAGTATAATTTTGAAAGTATATTAAGCTATTTTTTTTATAAAATCTACTATCTAAGATTCAGACTCTAAGGCTGGGTTGCACCATCTTACTTTAACTTTGACAAACGTCAAAAATGTGTCTAATTCCATACAAAAACCACCGGTTATCGTCAAAATACGGTCAAAATTAGGTGGTGCAACTAAGCCTAAGAGGTCTACATAATGTAAAATGAGGTCACAAACGAATGTCAGGAGGAAAGTTAGTGTATGCTTACGTCAGTCTCTTTGTTGTTCGTTGCACCATTCTTCTTGACCGGTTCGTCGAAACCGCGCAGCTCGATCGTGTCGTGTTGAGATGTCGGCCCTCCACTAAACCTATTGTCAAGGAAACACACAAATTAATTATACCATCCCTACATAATATTCTATAGTCCAAGCTACCCATCCTTATCGCTCGCGCGTAATTATGTTGCTATCGCGCTCGCACACTCACTGCGGGTGCCAGTCGCACAGTCGCGACAGCAATATAATTACGCGCGAGCGATAAGGATGGGTAGCTAGGGGTCATTGGACAAAATTCTACGTGCTCACAGACCGGGCTTTAGTAACAGTTTATTAGTAATATACATACCATTCGGGTTCATCTTCCTTCTCAAATCGGCGTTGAGAGAAGCGACCACCAGATCTACGGTTGTCCTCTCTAAAACAAACAAATAAGGGATTATGAACTTCGTTACACTTCACTAATGTTACGAACCATTAGAACAGAAATCGTCCCTGCATTTCCCTAAAAATTTATATGAATTTTGCGTTTTCATAGCGCATAAAGTACGTCAACTGATGGTGTTAAATGCTCTATTTAATGGTTGTACTGATGGTGTCAAGTACAATTTTGAGTACGAAGATAGCGATAACCATTGAAACCAACCTGTCGCGTCCCTTTTCGTTGTTGAATCGATCGTCCCGTTCCCTCTTGATGTCAGAGGAGTAGGAGTCTCGGCTGAACGACCGACGGTCATACCTGTAGAAGAGAAAAACTTTAAAATCTTACACGTTGAGCACATCCGTCTGATGTGCATATTTTTTTTCGCCAGGAAAAGACATTAAATTGTATCAGATCTTACCCTGCAAGAAGGGCAGGGCCTACCCACTAAAACGGCTGGTTGCCTCAAGCATTCGTCCGCGTTCCCTATGCGGTTGAGAATTAGTGAGGAGTCCCAACTAAAGAAGGCGTCATCACATCTTCAGCCTCTAGCGAGCGGCAAACTTAAAGCGAACGGATAGTAATCCCTACGCCTTGTGAGATTTGAGGATACCACAGTAAGGAAGCTATGGTCCTTCCCTTCCTAAAATTCCTTCCGAGCGGGTGTTGTGCTCGGGGACCAAAGTCCAATTATCAACCATCTCGGTTTTCTATACAGGGTGTTAGGTAAAAGGGTATATGAGCCGACACTAGCCCATGTTAACATAGTCATATAAATGGTATGGTGAAGTCAGAAAATTGATATCTTCATTTTAATTATTTTAATTTTCATACAAATCGGATTTTATAAAAATTATTTTGTATGAAAATTAAAAAAATTAAAATGATGATATTAAATTTCTGACTTCACCATACCATTTATATGACCATGTTAACATGGGCTAGTGTCGGCTCATATACCCATTTACCTAACACCCTGTATACTTAGAGCGGAGTACTTTGATACCGCGATTCAGGATTGTAGTAAGATAGGTATCCGCGCTATCTATTGGGTGGTGACTAGAGATGGGTTTGTAGCCAGCTAGTTTGGATAATAACTGATTATTATCTATTAATAGCCATTATTAGCCATCCATTGGCTATTAACCCTGCTATTAATAGTTTCTTACGTTTTTTCTTCCACCTTTAAAATCAAATCAATATTAAAATCAAATATTACTCAAAGAAACAAAAAAGAACTAAAAAACATCAATGTAATTTATATAAACGACATTGTAGTTAAAAAAGAATCTAAATATTATACAATAAAAGGAGAAACTGACTGACTTAGTGACAGATCAACACACAGCCTAAACGGCTAAACGTAGGCACTTGAAATTTGGAAGGGACGAAGCTTAAATACCGTAGAGGTGCACTAAGAAAGGAATTACCAAAATTCCCAAGGGAACGGGAATTAGCGGGAAAATCCTTTTGTATGAAAAATCTAAACCGCTTAAGTTAGACGCTTGAAATTTGGCATGTAGGTACATTAGTAAACTAAGTTTACTAAGGTACCTGCATGCCACATTTCAAGCGTCTAACTTAAGCGGTTTAGATTTTTCATACCAAAGGATTTTCCCGCTAATTCCCATTCCCGTAGGAATTTCGGGAATTCCTTTCTTAGTGCACCTCTACGGTACCTAAGCTACGTCCCTTCCAAATTTCAAGTGCATATGTTTAGCCGTTTAGGCTGTGCGTTGATATGTCACTAAGTCAGTCAGTTTCTCCTTTTATATATTTAGACTAGCGGCCGCCCGCGATTTCGTACGCGTGGATCCCGTTTTAGCCCCTACATCTATCTTACGCGGTTTAGATTTTTTCATACAAATGTTTTTTCCCGCTAACTCCCGTTCCCGTGGGAATTTTGCAATATCCTCTTGTAACTAAGCTTTGAGTTTACTAAGGTACCTGCATGCCAAATTTCAAGCGTCTATCTTACGTAGTTTAGATTTTTTTATACAAGTGTTTTTTCCCGCTAACTCCCGTTCCCATGGGAATTTTGCAATATCCTCTTGTAACTTAGCTTTGACTTTACTAAGGTACCTGCATGCCAAATTTCAAGCGTCTATCTTACGTGGTTTAGATTTTTTCATACAAATGTTTTTTTCCCGCTAACTCCCGTTTCCGTGAGAATTTTGCAATATCCTCTTGTAACTAAGCTTTAAGTTTACTAAGGTACCTGCATGCCAAATTTCAAGCGTCTAACTTAAGCGGTTTAGATTTTTCATACAAAAGGATTTTCCCGCTAATTCCCGTGCCCGTTGGAATTTCGGGTATTCCTTTCTTAATGCACCTCTACGGTACCTAAGCTACGTCCCTTCCAAATTTCAAGTGCTAAATTTGTAAACTATGAAGGGATATGTTTAATCATTAGTATAACATTAATAGCAGGGTTACCATCTGAAATCGGCTATTATTGGCTATTTATGGCTAATAACTGCTTTTAATCCGTTACTAGCCAATTGCTATTAATCGGATTATTAGCACTTACCCATCTCTAGTGGTGACTGTAGTGGCGTGTCGATAGATGTCGCCACAGCCTGGTACTACTGTACCTGTCTCCATTGGCGCGGTTGTCGCGGTCGCGCGGCGGGCGGTAGGGCTCGGCCACGCGGTCACGATACTCGTTGTCTTCCCAACCGCTGGCCGGCACGTCGCGCACCATGATGCGGCCGGATCCTATGCGGCGACCTAAGACAATACACGTATTTAAGAACATGTTTATTTGTCTACGAGTATTAATTTTGATTCATACGGGTCTTAACCTCTAAGGGCCTACGCTCAAACTCGCGTGGGATATATTGAAAAATAGTATGAGCAGCGCAGTGTAGCGCGGACGCGTTTCCACTAGCCTAATTCACGTATTTTGACACAGTCAAAATCTCGCTGATGTTCAGAAGTCGTCCCATTGAAAAACAATTCTAAATCCGTATTCACAAGGGTCATTTCGATAGAACGATTACTCGATAGGATCGCAACTCAGCGATTTGTTGTTGTTGAAGTTTTGTTACGTGAATAAGGCTACAGGACGTGAGCACGCCGCGGGTGTGCATTTGCGTGCATAAAAATAAGCGGGCGCTTGCATCAGACGTCTGAAACGGGCACTCACTACGTACCTACGCAAGTTTTAGTGTAGGCCCTAATAAAGATTTATATTTTATGTAGGTATGTAGGCAGCAATATACAGTGCATGTTTATTCTTAACGCATGCACCACCTGTATCTGCCAGTTATAATGTAGGCCTCGATAATTTACATGCAATAGCGAAATAATCAAAATAATATTATTCTGATTATTTCTGAGGGCCATGTTTAAGTTAAAATACACGTTATACTTATCACATTGGTGGCGATCAGTAGTAACAAAGCGGCTAAGGCTACATAAAAGTAGATGATATGATGACGATCTGAAAAATCACTCTGACCGAGTTTCAATAAGGCACGGGGTGTCTAAATAACTATATCAAATGCAATGTCAAAGTCGTGAAGACAGCACGACGCCATGCCCGCAGAGATAAAACTTGGCAACAGAAGGGGCGCTAGTAAGACACTTACCCGTGTCTGGCTTGGCGGCTGGAGCTCTCTAGTAAGACACTTACCTTGTACAGGCAGCACACACCCTTGCCTAGCGAAGCGACGAAGGGACAAGTCTCTAAGCGGCAGCAGGGAGCGCTAGTAAGACACTTACCCTGGTAACACTTGGTGGTGCTTACCACCGCAGCGTGCGCAACTGACAGCAAGGAAAAGGTCGCGTGCGTCCATCAATGTGCAGCACACTCATCCTAGCTTGAAGACTGCGGGACTCGTCTCTAGGCGACAGCAGGGAGTGCTGGTAAGACACTTACCCTGGTCGGGCTTGATGGGAAGCGCCGCGTGCGCAGCTGACAGCGCGGAACCAGATCGCGTGCGCGCGCAGCGCACTTGCGACGAAGCGACACTTCTAGGAGGGGAGGGGCGCTCTAGTAAGACACTCACCTGTATCGGGCTTCGCAGGCAGCGCCGCATGCGCGGCAGACAGCGGGGAATCAAGTCGGTGTGTGTGGCAATGTAAAGCACCCTCACTCTAGCTTGGAGACAGCGAGACTCGCCTCTAAACACCAGAGGCTCGCTAGTAACACACTCATCCGTATCAGGCTTCGCAGGCGGCGCCGCGTGCGCAGCGGACAGCGGCGCGTGCGCAACTGACAGCTAGGAATCAAGTCAAGTGCGCGCGGCTTTCTGCAGCACACTCGCCTTAGCTTGGAGACGGCGGAACTCTCTTCTAGACACTAGAGGCTAAGGGACTATTTTAGGCGACAGCAGGGGACTCACCCGCATCGGGCTTGGCGGGCGGCGCGGCGTGCGCGGCGTGCGCAGCGGACAGCGGGGAGTCAGGGCGCGTGCGCGCGGCGAGGTGCGGCGGCGCGGCGGGCGCGGCGGCGGCGGGNGGGGAGTCAGGGCGCGTGCGCGCGGCGAGGTGCGGCGGCGCGGCGGGCGCGGCGGCGGCGGGCGCGCCGCAGCCCGACGTGAAGGAGCGCCGCTGCGGGGACAGCACGGCGCCCGCCTAGAGAGCCCTAGCTTGGTGGAGAAGAGGCTTGTCTCTAGGCGGCGGCAAGCGCTGTGGTAAGACACCCTGTACAGGCTCAATGGGAGGCGGCGCGTACGCAAATGACAGAGAATCTAGTCACGTGTGCGCAGCAATGTGCAGCACTCTCCCTTGCTTAGCGAAGCGACGAAGGGAGGACAAGTCTCTAACCGGCAGCAGGGAACGCTAGTAAGACACCTACCCTGGAAGCACTTGGTGGGAAGCGCCGCGTGCGCAGCTGACAGCAGGGAACCGATCGCGTGCGCGCGCAGCGCTCTCGCGACGAAGGGAAACTTTAAGGCGACAGCAGGGGGCGCTAGTAAGACACTTACCCGTATCGGGCTGGAGGCGCCGCGTGCGCATCGGTCAGCGGGGAATCAGATCGCGTGCGCGCGTAGCGCTCTCGCAACGAAGGGACACTTCTAGGAGGGGCAGGGGCAATGTGCAGCACACTCGCCCTAGCTTGGAGACTGCGAGACTCGCCTCTAGACACCAGAGGCTTTCTAGTAACACACTCACCCGTATCAGGCTTGGCGGGCGGCGCGGCGTGCGCAGCTGACAGCGCACTCGCAACGAAGGGACACTTCTAGGAGGGGAGGGGCGCTCTAGTAAGACACTCACCTGTATCGGGCTTCGCAGGCGGCGCATGCGCAGCTAACAACAGTAGGGAGTCCGCCGGCCTGGAGCGCGCGGCATTCTGCAGCACACTGGCCCTAACTAAGTGATGAAGGGACTCTCCTCTAGGCATCAGGAACTTTCTAGTGAGACACTCACCCGTATCGGGCTTCACAGGCGGCGCGTGCGCAGATAACAGCGGGGAACTAGATTGCGTGCGCGCGCAGCGCACTCGCACCGAAGGGACACTTCTAGGAGAGTCAGGGGGGAAAGGTCGCGTGCGCGCGGCATTCTGCAGCACACTGGCCCTAGCTAAGTGATGAAGGGACAATTTTAGGCGACAGCAGGGGGACTCACCCGCATCAGGCTTGGCGGGCGGCGCGGCGTGCGCGGCGTGCGCGGCGTGCGCAGCAGACAGCGGGGAGTCAGGTCGCGTGCGCGCGGCGAGGTGCGGCGGCGCGGCGGGCGCGGCGGCGGCGGGCGCGCCGCAGCCCGACGTGAAGGAGCGCCGCTGCGGGGACAGCACGATGCCTCCGCCCGGCGAGCCCTCCTTGCGGACCCGCTCGCGAGGGTCCGCTGAACGGCGCTCCCGCTCGCGACCGTACACACCCTGAGAGATATTACTCTTTTAACTTTGTCTCCTTTGAAAACCAAAATGCTATTCCAAAACGCAAAATACATTATTTATTACAATAAACCACCAGTGTTGATTCTTATCTCGCTTTGGCGAAGGCGGGCCTGTACACGATTATTTTGGTTAACATGTTGCAAACAATTAAATAATTATTAAAATAATCACAGCAATGTTACGGTCGATGTCGCGGAGTCTGAGCGAACTCGAATCACCGAACAAATCGTTAATTTAAAAAGGCTGTAAAGAGTGAAGTTTACAGAAGAAAAATAAGGATATCATGAAAAAAAGATGGAAAATGAAATTAATATAATATGTACTCTTTCTTAGAGATAAAATAAACGCATGTGTTGCTCTGTAAAATAAAAGTATTATTCAATACTAATACATTTCTCATTGAAATAAACTAGTAAATTCCTTATTCATTGGCTATAATGACATATGACACAGTCATTTTGTGGGTAATTTTCACAGGGTAATCCATGCGAGTGCAACACCCGTATTCACAAACGATACTTACCTATGCAAAGCAGCAACGCTATGCGAAATGAGATATTTCTCAATGCGTTCCATATGACAAGCCTTTCAATTCATAAACAATACTTAAACGACCCTTGACTATGCAAAATCAGAGTGTTGAATAGAGTTCTGTGATTGGTTCGCTTATGTTACGCACTTCACTCCGCTAACTGACATGACATTCCTGTCATTCAAACGGTGCAACGGTTTATAAGTGTCTTTATTTTGTGGATTTGTGAATTAAATAATATAAATAAATATGGATAAAACTACAACTATCAGGTTAGTATGAATATTTCGATTAATAATAATAGTGAAAATCATGTTTCAATCATTATTTTTCAGATAAAAAAGCTGCCGTTTTCTTCTTCCGAAAGAGAGCTGCTGATTGTAGCTTAATAAGAGAAAGGCCTATTATTGAAGACAAGCATATTATTATCCTCTCTAAAATATCGAGTTGACGAAGCAGGCCTGGGAAACTCTAACAGTGGCTTACAATTGTCGACCATATTTTATGTTTCACAAAGGNTACTTAGAGCGGAGTACTTTGATACCGCGATTCAGGATTGTAGTAAGATAAGTATCAGCGCTATTTATTGGTAGGTGACTGTAGTGGCGTGTCGATAGATGTCGCCACAGCCTGGTACTACTGTACCTGTCTCCATTGGCGCGGTTGTCGCGGTCGCGCGGCGGGCGGTAGGGCTCGGCCACGCGGTCGCGATACTCGTTGTCTTCCCAACCGCTGGCCGGCACGTCGCGCACCATGATGCGGCCGGATCCTATGCGGCGACCTACGACAATACACGTATTTAAAAATTATGTTTATTTGTCTACTAACTTCGAGTATTAATTTTGATTCATACGGGTCTTAAGCTCTAAGGGCCTGCGATAAAACTCGCGCGGAAACCCGCACGCGGGTTTGTATGAAAAAAAGAATGTGTAGCGCAATGTCGCGGACGCGTTTCCATACACAAGTCCGGAGCGGGCGCTTTGTGCATTCGCGTTAGTTTTATAAGGATTTATGTTAAAGTATAATAAATATGTAGGCAGCAATATACAGTGCATGTTTATTCTTAACGCATGCACCACCTGTATCTGCCAGCTATAATATAGGCCTCGATTATGTACATGCAATAGCGAAATAATCAGAACAATAATATTCTGATTATTTCTGAAGGCCATGTTTACTTATCATTTAGGCGCGGCGATCTCACTCTAGCTTGGTGATGAAGAGACTCGTCTCTAGCTGACAGCAGAGGGCGCTTTAAGACACTCACCCGTGTCAGGCTAGGTCGGAAGCGCCGCGTGCGCAGCTGACAGCGAGAAATTAAGTCGCATGCGCTCGGCAATCTGTACAGCACACTCACCCTTGCCTAGCGAAGCGACGAAGGAACAAGTCTCTAAGCGGCAGCAGGGGGCGCTAGTAAGACACTTACCCTGGTAGCAATTCGTGGGAAGCGCCGCGTGCGCAGCTGACAGCGCGGAACCAGATCGCGCGCGCTCGCAGCGCACTCGCGACGAAAGGACACTTCTAGGAGGGGCAGGGGCAATGTGGAGCACACTCACTAGCTAAGAGACGAAGCGAGGCTCTCTAGTAAGATACTCACCCGTATCGGGCTTCGCGGGCGGCGCCGCGTGCGCATATAACAGCGGGGAACTAGATTGCGTGCGCGCGCAGCGCACTCGCGACGAAGGGACACTTCTAGGAGAGTCAGGGGGGAAAGGTCGCGTGCGCGCGGCATTCTGCAGCACACTGGCCCTAGCTAAGTGATGAAGGAACACTTTTAGGCGACAGCAGGGGGCTCCAGCAAGACACTCACCCGTGTCGGGCTTGGCAGGCGGCGCCGCGTGCGCAACTGACAGCTAGGAATCAAGTCAAGTGCGCGCGGCTTTCTGCAGCACACTCGCCCTAGCTTGGAGACGGCGGAACTCTATTCTAGACACTAGAGGCTAAGGGACACTTTTAGGCGACAGCAGGGGACTCACCCGTATCAGGCTTGGCGGGCGGCGCGGCGTGCGCAGCAAACAGCGGGGAATCAAGTCGCGTGCGCGCGGCATTCTGCAGCAACCTGGCCCTAGCTAAGTGTTGAAGGGTCTCGCCTCTAGGATACAGCAGGGAGCGCTAGTAAGACTCACCCGCATCAGGCTTGGCGGGCGGCGCGGCGTGCGCGGCGTGCGCAGCAGACAGCGGGGAGTCAGGTCGCGTGCGCGCGGCGAGGTGCGGCGGCGCGGCGGGCGCGGCGGCGGCGGGCGCGCCGCAGCCCGACGTGAAGGAGCGCCGCTGCGGGGACAGCACGCCCCGCCTAGAGAGCCCTAGCTTGGTGGAGAAGAGGCTTGTCCCTAGGAGGCAGCAGGGGCGCTTTTTTAGTAAGACACTTACCTGGGTCGGGCTTGGTAAGAAACGCCGCGTGCGCAGTTGACAACAGAGAGTCCTAGCTTGGTGACAAAGAGGCTTGTCTCTAGGCGGCAGCAGGAGCGCTCTAGTAAGACACTGTACAAGCTTAGCGGGAGGCGGCGTGTGCGCAGATGACAGGAGAATCTAGTCACGTGCGCGCAGCAATGTGCAGCACTCACCCTTGCCTAGCGAAGCTACGAAGGGACTAGTCTCTAAGCGGCAGCAGGGGGCGCTAGTAAGACACTTACCCTGGTAGCAATTCGTGGGAAGCGCCGCGTGCGCAGCTGACAGCGCGGAACCAGATCGCGCGCGCTCGCAGCGCACTCGCGACGAAAGGACACTTCTAGGAGGGGCAGGGGCAATGTGGAGCACACTCACTAGCTAAGAGACGAAGCGAGGCTCTCTAGTAAGACACTTACCCGTATCGGGCTTCGCGGGCGGCGCCGCGTGCGCAGCAGACAGTGGGGAGTCCGCCGGCTTGGTTCGCGCGGAAATCTGCAGCACTGGCCCTAGCTAAGTGATGAAGGGACACTTTTAGGCGACAGCAGGGGGCTTAAGCAAGACACTCACCCGTATCGGGCTTGGCAGGCGGCGCCGCGTGCGCAGCGAACAGCGCGGAACTAGATCGCGTGCGCGCGCAGCGCACTGGTGACGAAGGGACACTTTATGGCGACTGCAGGGGGCGCTAGTAAGACTCACCCGTATCAGGCTTGGCGGGCGGCGCGGCGTGCGCGGCGTGCGCAGCGGACAGCGGNAGTAGCGGCGTAAGGGGGGGGCGGTGGGGGCGGTCCGCCCCGGGTGCCAGGCATCAGGGGGTGACAAAAGTCGCGCAGATTAGTACTCACTGGCGCATCTGCGTCGGTAACCCAAAAATCCTGGGGGGCACCAGACCTGACCATTCTGGGGTGCCATAGCCCCGAGCTATATATAAAGGAGGGGGGGGGGGATGACCGCCCCGGGTGCCAAGCCATGCTACGCCGCCACTGTTGCACACCTTGGTCAAAACCACTTTTAACTGATTTTTGCAGTCAAACTGGTTTTGACCGATTATGAGGTGGTCCCTGACAAGACAGAAATTTGGTAAAATGGTCCCTCATGACTTAAAGGTTAAGAACCACTGCTCTAGAAACTCAAAACTACAAGGATACACATGAACTCCAGTTTTAAATCCGTTGATATCCGTTTTTGGCTATAAGATTCTTCTATCTTACGGCTTAGACCTTTAGCTACAGACCTTAGACAGCATTTTTGTGAAAATTCTTACGCATGGCGGAGGAAGGGACGCTCTAGACACTCAAGTCTACAAGGAGTCACATGAACTCCAGTTTTAAATCCGTTGACATCTGCTGCATCTGCCATCTTTTTGGCTAGAAGATTCTTCTATCTTGCAGCTTAGACCTTTAGCTACAGACCTTAGACAGTATTTTTGTGAAAATTCTTACGCATGGTGGAGGAAGGGACGCTCTAGAGACTCAAGTCTACAAGGAGTCATAATATGAACTCCAGTTTTAAATCCGTTGACATCTGCTGCATCTGCTATCTTTTTGGCTAGAAGATTCTTCTATCTTACAGCTTAGACCTTTAGCTACAGACTTTAGACAGTATTTTTTATTATTTATTTGTGTCAGTGTGCTCTTCTAAAGAGTAATTTTAACTCATTGGTTTTGTCTCATATTGAGGAATGTACTATGTATCATGAGTAGAGTCTTCGTTTAAAAGGATGCGAACGATTTAAATTTCAATAGGTAGACAAAATTGATAATTTTTAATTATCAAAAATTTAAGCTTTCTCCAGTAACACTGATATTATTATACTGTGACTCATCAAAGTCATCATTGTCAAAAATATTGACAAATCGCGAACTGTCACGGCCAAAAAACTGACACGCGTCCGTCCTCCGTAAGCGCCGAAAATATCCTCAACTATGCCCAATAAAAATCTTAGCCTTTAATTTTACTGTTTAGTACCTCAAAAATGAAAAATGAAAATTTCATTTTCGCCATTTTCTCTGCTACCCGGCCTTAACATGTTGCAAACAATTAAATAATTATTAAAATAATCACAGCAATGTTACGGTCGATGTCGCGGAGTCTGAGCGAACTCGAATCACCGAACAAATCGTTAATTTAAAAAGGCTGTAAAGAGTGAAGTTTACAGAAGAAAGATAAGGATATCATGAAAAGAAGATGGAAAATGAAATTAATATAATATAATATTCTTAGAGATAAAATAAACGCATGTGTTGCTCTGTAAAATAAAAGTATTATTCAATACTAATACATTTCTCATTGAAATAAACTAGTAAATTCCTTATTCATTGGCTATAATGACATATGACACAGTCATTTTGTGGGTAATTTTCACAGGGTAATCCATGCGAGTGCAAGTACTTTTATTTGACACATACACAGTAAGTTTTATAAATTGATGATAATCATTGTGAAGGATAAAATAATCTTATAACCACTGTGAACAGGCTGGCAAGATGATAAAAATTCATTTGTAACAATGTCAATGTAACTATTTACCTATAGGAAAACAAAAGGGTCATATTAAAGAAGTCAATTTGACATTATACATCTTGAATATCTATCCATTTATAAATTTGAAATAAAATCATCACCACCAAAAAGGTACCTATGTTTGCAAAACAACTTGACCCTAAAAACAATAGTCTAGTTTTCAAAAATGGACTCTATGGTCAATACCTTATGGTTCTCATTTGGTGCATCCCCCCTAGCTCCCTTGTCCTCCTCGTTGGGCGAGTCGGCTCGTCTCTTCAGCACGCTGCAACAATGGGCACAATACAATCACCTCATACAAAAGCACATACAGGCATTAGGATGCGTAGCATTCTCATTTTAATAGATTCACAATTGAACAATCGTTTGCAAGCACGTGGACGTCTATTGTGTCAACCGCAAAGTATCAGCTTTTGTATCGGTTCCGGTATAGAGGATATTGGATAACAAAGTAATCTTTTTTAAATCAACCCTGTCATCACATCGGCGGAGCAATAAGGGCCAGTGCTAAGCAGTTGCTCAAAAAATTCAAGTAACCCTATTGTCAGTAGCAGAATCACAGAAAAGGTTCCAAGGTAAGGATCGACTTCTCTCCAGGATTAATCCTACTGCCTAAATGAATTGTTAAGTCCTATTAGCTGATAATGCGGAGGTAGAAAAATAAGAGGATTCGAGTCCCTCTTTACGAGCGGCGATTCGAAGGTAAGGATCGCGTTTCTCTTGGACCGAGACCGCAGACGCAGAAGTTCCTCCCGCGTGTTGCTCAGCGGCCTACTCGTCGCTTCCGGAACGAATCCTAATGGCTACATGAGTGACGGTAGACAAGACTCTAGAGGGTCAAATCCCTCTTTATGAGCGGCGGTTCGAAGGTACCGATCGCCTTTTCTCTGGCACCGTGTTGCGCAGACGCAGAAGATCTGCTGCCGCCTGGTCACTTCTGGAACCAATCCTACTGGCTACACTGGCTATTTGGATGAGGGGGACTCACAGCGCCAGCGCCTCGCAGCCGGCGAAGGCGGTCTCGAGGCCGGCCTTGACGAGCGGCGAGTTCCGCAGCCGCAGCAGCTGCTCCCGCGTGTAGTCAGCGGCCGCCGCTGCTGCCGCCTGTAGGTGAGCGGCCGCCTCATCGCTTAAGGAACCAATCCTACTGGCTACTTGAGTGAGGGGGACTCACAGCGCCAGCGCCTCGCAGCCGGCGAAGGCGGTCTCGAGGCCGGCCTTGACGAGCGGCGAGTTCCGCAGCCGCAGCAGCTGCTCCCGCGTGTAGTCAGCGGCCACCTCATCGCTTCCGGAACCAATCCTACTGACTACTTGAGTGAGGGAGACTCACAGCGCCAGCGCCTCGCAGCCGGCGAAGGCGGTCTCGAGGCCGGCCTTGACGAGCGGCGAGTTCCGCAGCCGCAGCAGCTGCTCCCGCGTGTAGGTGAGCGGCCGCCGCGCCGGCCCCACCGCCAGCACCGCCGGGTCGCCGCCGCCGCTCGCCGCGACGCACTCCTCGTCCCCTGGAACGTTCGAGAATACTTTAAACCAGAGTTTCAAAAGCATTATGGTCTTAAAGACCACAAGCTGAGTTTATGGTGCAGTCCTGTTGTCTCCCCTGCTTGGCCCCCTGGGGGAGCCAACAGGATTTCGAAATCCTGTTGTCCCCCCTGGCTAGGGGAGACAACAGGACTAGATTTTTAATCAATGATTTGAGGACTGACAGGACTGCACCGAGTTTATCAGTTTTGAGTAGACCCCACGCACTCCTCGTCCCCTGGAAAGTTTGAGAATTTTTTTTATGCAAGACAAGGTAGGTATTTGACCGCAATCGCACCTGATGCTAAGTGAGATGCAGACTAAGATGGTACATATCTGTCCTGTAAGTGTCTATTCCAGGGGTGGCCAACCGGTCGATTAGTACAGTCGATCGTGGCAAAGCAAAAAATACTACATGATTGTGTACTAAACTATGCTGTTACATTTAAGATTTCAAGAAGTATGTAAGTGGTAGATCGCCCAGGGTTTCGTTAGTAAACAGTAGATCCTATGTCTAATCAAGTTGGCCACCCCTGGTCTATTCACTCTCGCCTTGAAAATGACCGGCATGAATGAAATGAATACTTTCCACCAGGGTTTCTCAAGCATTCGGGTCTTTAAGACCAGACCAGTAGTGGAATTTATCACTTTTGAGACCCCGTGGATTGGTTGAATTAGGAAAGGCCTATGTTCTGCAGTGGACGTCTTATAGCTGAGATGATGAGAACACCCCTTGAAGCTTAGACAGAGTTGTAGTGGAAGCTTGGTTGCAGGATCATTTGGTTCCCGAGTAAGCCCTTCTTGAAAAATACTGGTAAATACTGATATTGAGCATACAGCGCGTATAACGCGCGATAACGCGTCCTTATAAGCATGGATATGTCATGCAATTATTGTAATCATGATTTATTATACTAAAAATAAAATTATAACTAAAAATTTTAACCGGAAATAACTCGTAACAAATTAAGTAGATTTATTGTAATTATGTGCTGTACAGGTACAAGACGATCAATTGTTCAGATTGGCTAACCAAACTAATGTAGCAGATAGTTTTGATGCAAGTGTTTTTTTAATTAAGAATAAGGCAGGTATTTGACCACAATCGTATTCGTACCTGATGTTAAGCGAGATGCAGTCTAGCTTTTGTTTTAATTAGAGACCAACTACTAGAATAAATCACTGGCTTGGACCATGGTTTCTAACAGTTTTTTCTGCATTTCTTAAAGTAGTTGCATTGAAAAGGCAATGGTCAACAATCCATAAAAAAATTCATTCATCTTTGTTTGCGTTTCTTTCTTATCAATCAAGCTCTTAAGCAATGAAGAACATGCAAGAAACTTGATACAACAAAATTACCAAAGTACTGACAATAGAGTTTCGATTGGAAATAAAATTCAGTTTTATTTAGTTTTAAAATAGTATTGCAATTTGCAATTGCATTTCAAATAGCTGAAGATTGCATTGTCCTCGAAAATAAGAACATCAAGCTAAAACAGTGGTGTCTTATCTCGTTATAATACAGTTTACTTTGCAACTAAAATGTTTAATGTGATGTACTGTCGCTATACAGGTGTCGGCACATGCACATCAAGTTTTGGTATCTAATTCCGTTTTAATAGGATAGATTTTGCAACCAAATACTCTTTTGACGACTGTCGAATTTTGTTAATTTTAATGCGTACATCATACAGTTTCCTTGCACAAACGATTGCACAATATGTCTATGTGTGTATGTATATGCCATTAGTGATTGCTAACAATAGTTTAAAGCGACAGTTCGCTGCAGGTCGATGACCGCTTGCATCAGCTGATAGCAGACGTGATTCGCACTAACTAGAGAAACGAGTTTTTTTATAGTTTTTCAACGGGACGTTTAACTAGGCACTGATGTGGTTAACTACTTGTAGTTGGACACTAGAATCTACCTGAGAATTTTTCAAATAAGTAGGTATGGATGAAAGTAAATAATGTTACCAATCATGTTTACATTTAGTAACAAAGTATGGCATTTAGTTAAGATTGGATCCTCCTGATCCTGATGACATAAAACTACCTTTGTCTGAAACTAATAAAATTCCAGATTGGATTGGAATAGATTGGTCCCTAGCGATAAGACCGCCTAAACTGTTCCGACATTTACTACCCGATACTGCGAAGTCAAAAGGAAGGTTTATATTTCTTGTCGGTTATAGGTAGGTATTTGTCAGTTTTTGTTCGGTGTGCTTACGACGCGGCCAAATGCGCAGTAGACAATTTCTAACATAGAATAAACCTACAGAAACAATACTGTAATGTACATTTCTAGGGTCCTATGCAGTTAGCGGTCGTCGACGTCGTTCGTCGTTTCAGCCAAATGACGTCCACTGCTGGACAAAGGCCTCCCCCAAGGTTTTCCATAATGAACGGTCCTGCGCTGCCCGCATCCAGGCTCTTCCCGCGACCTTTACCAGATCGTCGGTCTACCTAGTAGGAGGCCTGCCCACGCTACGTCTTCCAGCCTATGGTCGCCACTCGAGAACTTTCCTGCCCCAACGGCCATCGTCTCTACGAGCTATGTGCCCCGCCCGCCCACTGCCACTTGATTTTAGCAATTCTGCGAGGCAGGCAGGCAGTTAGCGGTGTCCACCATCGAACTCAAATGAATAAAAACGTAAACATCATAAACTGGCCGGGCACAGATAAGGTGAAAAGTGTAATTAGCGTAGTAAACACGGCAGGAATCCGCGACAGACAAAAATAAACAGACCGGGTCCGTACTCCGTGGTCGCACAAGGTCGCGACGATCGGCACACTTTTACTGCACAAGTGAAGTAGGGTTGCCCTTGTCGAAATTGTGGACAAAGGAGTCGTGAAACCTGGGATTTCTCAATAAAATTTGAGCGACTCCCTAAAGTTTCGGGTTTTTTTTTCAAAAATTGTAGACCATAAAGAACACAATTTTAACAATTTCTTGACAGTATCAAATCTGCTTGGATCCGAACACTGAATGAGTGAAAAGTGGTAACTATTCAGAAAATGTTGATGTTACATTTAATACAACCCTTTCTGATGACGGTTAGATATTTTTATCTTCGAAATATCGAACGAAAACAGTAGAAATTGACATATTAATCAAAGACTCAAGAAAAATAAGAGGAAAATCGGACACTTGGCAACCCTAGATAAGAGGCATCATTCAGAATCAGATGCACTAATCCAAAAAGTTATTTAGTTTGGAACGGTCTCTCTCTCACACACTCGCTGGTATGCTGGTGTGAGTGACAGAGTCACAGTAATATCGAAACCATTTCAAAGAGCAGCTCCAGTTAGTTGCCTTTAGCCACTGCGTTCGAGAGTGCATTGTGCATTGCTTGTAACGTGCAGTGCATCTACGAATGAATTCGCAACCCATTTAGATCAAACCCATAAATAATAATTTTTAAATACATGAAATACTAGTGACTCGCCCCGACTTCGCACGGGTGCTAAGTATACTTATAAACCTTCCTCTTTAATCACTATATCTATGTATTTAAAAAACCGCATCAAAATCCATTGCGTAGTTTTAGAGATCTAAGCATACATAGGGACAGACAGCGGAAAGCGACTGTTTTATACATGTAGTGATATTGCAATAAATAGGAAACCCTGCTATACATTTTTAATCCGTTTAATTTGTATTTTCCGTGAAAATGTTGACTGGTGATAATTTTTGCGCGCGATATTTAACACAAATGTATCATTGTAAATCATTTGTTTCATTCTTTTGCCTCATGTAAAATTAATATGTAATTGAGCATTGAATGGAACGTTGTTGGATATCGCTGAATTAATCTGAACAAAATGTATAACAAATTGTTATACATTAACAATTATAACGGTACGATATGGTTTATAATTTGTAATTTCAATTAATAATCGATTATACACAAAGGCATAAATACTCGTCTCAGAACTGGACATAAATCGGAATAATGAATGTAAGATTAGGTACATAGATCTATTTCTTCATACATATTTTTCAACAAAGATAGTAATTTTATCCAAATCAACTCGGCCATTCTTTGGTGAAATGAGTTCCAGAAACTGAGCAAAAAAATGATTTATTTTGTTCTTATCAATTGGTAATCAAATCATAGATGGTGTAGACACAATTCTGTCGTCTAAAAGAATCAAACATTTTTCATTATCGAATAAAACACAGCTAATAGGCTAGTTTCCTAAAAAAATTTTTTTAGTCCGTCATGTTTAATATAAAAAAATATTGGACACATATATTTTTATTTGTCAATCTAACAAATAATTACATAGTTATGGTACGTTGAAGTTCCGCACGACGTCACAACGTGCGGCACTTTTATGCACGCATTGACGTCACGGGCCTCTTCTTATGAACTTTGGCGCGCTTAATCTCTTTAAATTTGTAAGAGATGAGATGTAGAGTATTTTTTGATAAGTTATCTGACGGACTAATTAAAACTCTTGCTTTTTGACCCAGGAAACATCCCTATTAATATCATTAGCAATTTCCAACGCATCTCATCACCAAACCACAATGTGGTAAAACTAACTGATCAATGTTATGATAAAATAGAAAGACACGGGTCTTAACGCGACGTTTATTAATGACCTACATTATTATTAGTTGAAATGGAACGTGAAATTTTAACAATGTTATGGTGCTGGTAATATTACGCGGGTAATGACGGCGTATAAAAACGCTTGCTCCCTTACACCTATCCGTAAAATCGATGGGAGAGTCCGCATAGTGCACTGCAAGGGGACCCAAGGTCAGCCCACTGGCACAGTTCGACGCTTCCGAGGGGTCATGATGTTGCGAATTGGTTGATTGATAAAATAATGCTGAATACGTAATGGCCGCTAGGCGTTAAGATTGAAAAAAAAAAGTTCTATCAAAGAGAAAGTTGAAAAATTATGTCACACTAGCGGCCGCCCGCGACTTCGTACGCGTGGATCCCGTTTTACCCCCTTAGGGGTGGAATTTGGTAAAATCCTTTCTTAGCGGATGCCTACGTCATAACATCTACCTGCACGCCAAATTTCAGCCCGATCCGTCCAGTGATTTGGGCTGTGCGTGGATAGATCACTATGTCAGTCAGTCGGTCAGTCACCTTTGAGTTAAATACATATTTTAGATTATCTGTTTTTTTTATGTAATGCAAGGCAGGTATTAGACCGCAATCGCACCTGGTTTTAAGTGAGATGCATTCTAGGATAGTACATAATATCTTCCCTGTAAGTGCCTACTCACTCTCGCCTTGAAAAGGCCCGGATTATAGTGTTCAGAAAAGACAGCGAATTCCAGTCCCTAGCTAGTGATCTTATGATAGGCACTTCTTAAAACCCACAAAACACAATCCATGCTAATATAATTAACGCGGAAGTAGCCCCGTGTGTCTTATTTGTCTTATCTTTTCACGCTTAACCTGTGGCTTAACCTGCTGAACCGATTTCGATGTTTTTTAATACAGATACATAGTTTTTTTAGAGAGTCCTAAACTCAGGGAAAAATGAAAGATATTATTTTTATCCCGGTTTTAAAACGGGTCACGGAAACACACAAGTGCCTCTATGACAGACGAAATAATTCACGTAGACAAAATTTATAGCCTAGCCTAGGTTAGATAGGACTAAAAACTAGTCGAATGGACTGTCAACTGTTCGTTCATTCAGCCTATGAACAATACTGTAAATTGACTCCTTTCTACTCAATTATCTCTAATTTGAGTTCATTGTTATGACTTTCTTCGTTGGTGGCCATGACGCTAGATTAATCGCAATGATATGAATGATAGGTCGTTATCATTACACGAAATATTATTTAACACTAGCTTTCCGCCCGCGGCTTCACCCGCATGAAATTTAGTTTGTCACAGATCGTCATAAATTATAGCCTAATGTTATTGGGGGTTTTAAAGAATAATACTGTAAAATTTCATCAAAATCCGTTCAGTAGTTTTGCGTGAAAGAGTAACAAACAAACATCCATCCAGATATCCAAACTTTCGCATTTTATAATATTAATAGGTAGTAATATTTACATAATAATATGGATTTTTTGTGTCTCAGGTGTATACTCGGTTCTGAAACGATCAAACGACGCTGTCAAGTCTATTCACAAACTCAAGCAGATATTATGTTCCTAATTGGTCTTTATTTAATTACAAGTCTATTTAACAAGCCTGAAATAATATTAATAGTGTTGAAGATATTTTAGAGTGTGTACTTACAACATAAACGAATTTTCTACAGTTACATTACCCGTAAATCGTGGTATTAGCACAGAATAATAATAAGTACTACCACGTATTAGTTAAAACTAATTGATGCGGTGAACCTGTTAATTAACGGCTACTGAAATAATTAGGTTTCGCTAAACAAATTGGTTTTTATTCAATAACCACACTATTTTAAACTGAAAAGAGGGAATTCCTCACGACATTAAAATTATTAAGAACAATGAAGTCTGAATATTAACTAGGTAACAGTAGGCTGTAACCCATTTCTATTTATGTTCTTATCAGATAATTATTGAAAACAATACATTTGTTTATAACTGCAAACAGATAAGAGTGCAACTTCATCTTGCTTTTGTATAGTGATTAAAATGTTTATTTAACTAAAATATTATTTGAGATAAAACACACGGATTTCTCATTGTTTGGTCAATCCAATGTAACTCTGTTTGTTATCAGTACTAATATTTTAAAAGCGAAAGTTTTTGAGGATTTACGGATCTGTTATATCTTCTCACAAAACTACTGAACGGATTTTGATGAAACTTAACAATCTTACAGCTTAGAGCTATAGTATTTAGACTTGTATATCGAAATCTTCGAAAGACGAAGCCACGTACAAATGCTAGTAAAGGACATAAAACTGTCGCGTGTAGATAGATAGATAGATACATGAATACATGCGCTTCCGTCCAAAGTCCAAACAAAGGACCGGTTTTGATTAGTCGCTGACTTTTTTCTTTATTGTGAAAAGGGGTAGGTCGTATCGTGCACGTATTGATTTCCGCGTGCGAATCTACAAATCGGAAACGTAAAATACAACTGCAATTAACACAGAGCACGCAATGGTAGATGTCAAATTAGTTTTGTACATTTTCAAGGTTTCAATCGGAGGGTGATAAAAATTGTAAATAGGAAATCGCGAATCGTACTAACGTTACAATCAGATACATTTTCTCTATTATCGATGGAAACTGCTTTGCTTTTATGTTTTTTTATAAACAGAGCAATGTAGATATTTGCAATGTAGGTGACTGCAATCACACCCTGATGTTAACTGTGACATTTTCAAATAATTTCGAGCGATCTGAAAAGGGTCGCCTAAAAAATCGGCGATAGTAATAATCACGTCACTTACGCCACGACACTCGTTTGACTCTCTTCGACGGCGGTCCGGCGTGGATTTTCGGCGGGATCTGCGCCGGCACCCTTCTCAGGGCGCTCTGGTACCGCATCAAGAACGCGTGGACGGCGCATTTCATGGGGGACATGACCGGGCCTGTCAGGCCAGCGGAGGCCGCGGTCTTGCGCGCGCGACGCTTGGCAGACCTGGATCCAGCCCTGCGCCTCCTCCTCTTCCCTTTCTTCGACACATCGCCCGCGGGCGCCTGAATCTCCTTACAGCCCATCTCGGTGACGCGTCACAACAAAATGGCGGACCGAAAATTTAAAACCTAACGTAACCTACCTAATAACTAGATACACTAAAATAAAATAATAAGAATAACAATACGAATACGATTAAATTAAATAAAACTTTAAAACTAGGGTTGTCGATGAGACGCAATCGACGGAGCGAGAGAAAATACGTAAACACAGACGTGAATATTCTACGTATCAGGTTCGCGATGAAGGTAGTTAAAACTGGGAAGCAAGGCAGAGGGAATTTGGCGAATTTCCTCGGAAACTGTCGCGGGGTTCGCAGCGCACGGACACGTCTCAAAGACTGGCGCAGAAACGGCTGTTGCTTGCACGATAAAAATTCTCAAAAAAAAGTGGGTATTTTTCCGATTCCGACTTGTAACATTTTGGAATATACCGTCGGTTTCTGACAAAACGTAACGAAAGCTGTAAACAGCGACCGGCCAACGGCAATTTCCATTACAACACAAGCACAATTTGTTTTATATTTAATGGAGCAGTTTCTTGGTAAACCAAGTTAGATCTAGGAAATAATTAGAAATATTTTAAAATTAAACCAACTTACACAAGTATCTACAATTCTACAATTTAACACTATTTACATACATACCTAGTAGAATCGAGTTCAAAACGAAATGCATAAATCACTCTAAAGTTGACCCTTCCGTGCATGCATATTTAAACAAATTGACTGGCCAAAACAGTGACCAGCTATTATATGTAGGTAGGTAGGCGTTTGCAGAGAATTCCTGCAACCAGAGGGGTGCGCAATAGGGGAAAGCTTCTCCCTTGACCTTCAAATCCCCGCGGATTTACTCCCTAGCTCAGTAATAATACCTTTTACAAAACGGCCGATATCATTACGCAAAGTTCGTAATCCTACAGTCAATGAATAATATCAAAATGTCGCATACTTTATTAGTTGCATGTATTGGAATATCTTTAAGGGAATAATGAAAAAAAAATCTGTAAACAGGTTCATAATAAAGAAAGTATGTAATGTCAATCAACAGCTAGGCATCATGTAATCAGATAAAATGTAGGCTGTTGTGTTGATGAGTTGCGAAAAAAAATCGGTAACCTTTTTTCTAACGGGTCTTTGCCACCACATTTGTTTCTTGAACTCTGGCCTATAGTTTTCTAAAAGACAATTAACAAATTATCAGGTCCTCAGTAAGTAGGATAAGTAAGAATAAGAATATCTTAATTTGCATTAGCTTGAAATAAGCTATTAATACGCGCGCATCTTTTGTTCAAAATCACTTCAATTTTAATACTTAATTAAATAATAAGCAAAAGTTTAATGAATAATACGTTTTCACATGGCAACAAGAGAATCTCTTCCTCCCTCAGATTTTTGCCGTTTATACCAAAGGGTAACTGGCAGAGAACTTATAGCAATAAATTCACCATCATTAATCAATTTATAAAGGACTAAAGAATAAATAAACATGACTATTAACATTCAAAATTTGCTGTTTTACAGTTACTAGACAGTAATTAAAATTTCATGTGTATAGAAAATGTGCAATACAATTAAAAAATATATTTTTTTCCTGTATATCAATGCATAATAAATAATGAAGAGAAGCAGTTTATTTCGGAAAATAAATTCAGACGTGTTTTTGCCTGAGGCTTTGTCATCTGGTGTCTGATCTGTCACATGAAGTCTATATCACCACTCGTCCACCGATCAAAACCAATAATAATTTATGTTAACCAAAAACATAATAATGAGGTTTCATATCGTAATCATGAGAAACAACACAAACTTTCTGCACCTACCACCAAAATTTTGGCAAAAATAGTTCAATACTTTCGCATTTGTATTAGACAGAAAGTCAATGTTCTTGCATTACGTCTTGGGATTAAAACTTCATACTAAGAAGGCATCGGTGAATTTTCATTTCTGAAAATCTATCATTTAACTATCGGGATATCGTAGGGAATCCATCAATTACATAATAACAAGTTAATTTGTACCCATCACAGCATATCTTTTTTTTAAACTCCAGTTTTGATTGTTAGTATAAATTTTAGTTTCAAGAATATTAATGCTAATGTAGTTTATCAAAATCAGTTAGAATAAATAAATAAATAAATCAAGACTCTTTTGGGCATTCATTGCATTATTACTAGTGTCACAATAAGCCAACTGCACCTGCTTGAAAAAAACCTAATTATCGAAGGAAGGAATGTACCCTATAGTTCCAGTTTCTTGAAAGAATGTTATTTGATTTTCAATGACCATTTAAATGTCAATAGACTTTCCTTAACAACATTATTAGTTCTTCATTGATGTTCAACGCATTAACAACGGCTGGAGACAACTTATATTCAATTATTTCCAGTATGTAATTTATCTTTATCTCTTCAATTATTGATAGGCAGATATTTATTAAATTATGGTCTCTTGATTCATGAGTTGACATGATGACACATCTTATTAATTTATTGCAATTAATGATGCAAAAAGGTGATGTTCGGAATGTAGCCAAAACAAGTTTTACCAACACAAAGGATAATGACCTATACATATTTTTGTTTAATAACAAGCCAAAAATAAGCTTTCCTTTAAGAGAAAGAATAAAAACACAAACATTACATATTCAATTCTAATTAAACAGGTTAGAAAAATCCAATCAGTTTCTAATTTGTATGTCACAAAAGCAGCAGTTTGAGAAGGCCAAATACCTGCATTATTGTGACCTACTTAACTCTAGGAGCGTTTTCATGACGCCTGCAACGCAACGAAGAGACCTAACTGTAAATAATAGAAGCAAAGTGATATTTTGTAAACAATCACTGCTCTACTTGGATTTTATCTAGAGAAATCTAAACTAAACGGGAGTCTTTATGTGACTGACTGTGAAGTAGATGATAGGGCAGTTTGAAAAGCACTTACCTTCGTATTTAGAGCCATCCTTTGGGCTTTCGTCGTGAGGTTTCTCTTTCAAAGACGATAATAGGTTCACAGCTGACATAGCTCGCAAGTCTCAGATCAAACACTCAATTCTTCAGTCTTCGCTCAATATATTAACTTTGCTAAAAGTCTAAAATAACTTTACAATATTTACAAAAGTGTTCAGGAAATTATTCTATCACCTAAAGGTATTGTTTATTATCACAGACTTTTCGTTTTTCAATACGGATAAAAACGTCCACGCATGAAAATACTATCAATATTTACAAGACTCTAGATATAATAGACTTATTTACACATTTAAAAACTAACGTTTATCAGCTAATTTTAACAAATAGGCTCTAGCGGTCACAAGATACTCATAACTAAAAGAATTTATCAGTTTTCGATGCAAAAATATATAAAACGTCCGCCATATGCCTTTTGAAAACGTATATTCTGATGCTGCAAAATTTAAGAGGTACTTGGTCAAAGGAAGTTTCCCCAAACCAACTCGAGTTATTATGTTCTATCCAATTTGGCTAGGTTATATCCAGTTGCCATTTATTATTTTTTATTAGCAAACGGCATTCTTTGTGCTACGCACCTATTTCTAAATCACGATTATAACCTTAATTTTATTTTTGTTATAATTAATAATTTTATTTAAATTTATTTTATTATTAAATGCAATAAAACATTGACCTAAATAAAACAATAACATTCTCTCTACCAATGTATTTTTCTGAACGAAAACGAAACGAATGCTCTTTTGTTTTGCGATCCGTTTAGAAACATTTTATTTTAAGAATCACATAATGATTAAGTTTAGTAGGTATCAATCGTTTTATTTAATAATTGAAATAAATAAAAATGTTTTCAAGTCTTTTAATTATTTATTTAATAAACTTTTTTATCTGAAAAACTTCTGAACGCTAGCTTTAGCTAACCTGAGCCCCGATTACGGTAACTTTTATAACGTCTACAATCCAGTGGGTCTAGACAAAGTGCCATTATAATCGCAAACCAGTCGAAAAGTGGTCGAAAAGCCCATTTTTTGTATGGAATTAGACGGATTCGATTTTCGATTCGATCAAAAAGTGCGTTTTGTCTAGGGGGGCTGATGCGTTTCTGATTCTGCGATACGATTGGTCAAAACAGCCGACGTACGCTGTTGAATGACCAATCGTATCGCAGAATCGAGAAGCGTGTCTGGATTGTTGACGTTAAAAATTACCGTATGATGACCCACGCTGAACTGTCCCACCAAACTCAATGACAGGGGGGCGCTACCATCGTTCAACTAATATGGTTTCCAACATGGCAAAAATCGGAACCAGCGATCCGGTATAGACGGTGGCGCCCCGCTGTCAATGTCATGGACAGGACAGAGCCCCGATTACGGTAACTTTTAACGTCTACAATCCAGACACGCTTCATCGACGCTGCGATACGATTGGTTGAAACAGCTGACGTACGCTGTTGAACGACCAATCGTATCGCAGAATCGAGAAGCGTGTCTGGATTGTAAACGTTAAAGGTTACCGCACAGATAAAGATAGATGCAGCATGTGTCAAAATCTGTATGAAGCCGAGCGTGCCACTTTTTATACGTCATTAGTGTCATTTTAGCGAATTTTAGTGATTGCCGCAACGTAAAAGTAATCGTATCATCGTACTGCATTCGCAAAGTCATCGAATGATATCGTGTGACTCGATTCAAAAATTAATTAATTCCAATAAAACTGATATTTTGTTAAATTTATAGCTAGTCTGACTGTGGATTAAAATAATTATGTAGCGGTAGACGTTATTCTACAATTCTACATTATTAATTTGCAAATAATATTTTTGTTGTGCCTAATGTTTATGAAAGTAATTATCGTTATTCCATTATGTTAAATAGTACTACTAGTAATTCATACTTAATTCCATACTTTTAAATATCCTAGTAAGTAAATGACCTACTTTCATAAAATAAAGTCTATTTTACTCAAGCTTTTTATTTTTAATAAATGTAAAAATGCGTAGTTTNCTGGCAACACTGCATTTGACAGGTAACAGTGTTGCCAGAAGGTTACTTTTGTAACCTTTTAGGTTACTTTTGAACTGCATTGGTTACTTTTAGGTTACACTAATGAAAAGGTTACTTTTAGGTGATTTTTCAGAAATTGTAGAATTAACTTTTACAGGTTATTCAGTAAAAATATTAATAGTGACAATTTAAAAATTATGTCATAAACTGCATTTAAACATGAATTTGATTTATTATTTGTTAAAGACAATGAGTTTTAGCAAATGTTTTTTTGATAATAAAACGCAAATCCATGAAACGGTTTTATACGACCGGTCACTTTTCGGTCTTCATGGAATGGTCAAAATTTCGAATTTAGGTAAACATGAACCATCCATGAACAACCTTACACAATCGCTCCGCACCCCCCCGTATGAAGGTTACTTTTTATTCAAAAAGGTTACTTTTTTTTATATTTCTGGTAATTTCTGACTAGACCCGACTGGCAACACTGGTCAAATGTCAATATTGACAAAAAAAAATCTTGGCTGTGGCTTTCCTATGTATTACTTTTCTCTATGGCTGTGGCTGTGTGCGTGTGATGGTGAATTTCGCGTTGTAAATTTATTAAAAATGTCTTTAAAATGGACTGGGAATCGTAGTGAATCCGGTATTTTGCGTAAAAGTGAATGTAAAGAGAAGAAAGAAGAACTATTCGTGTTCGGGTACTCGTGCAAATTGTTCAGGGACAATGAGAAAGCCCTGCACATTGACCAAGGAAAGCACCTCATTCCGTGGATGGGGGATGAAACATTGAAAATCGACAGGTTCGATCTGTTTTTTACTATAAGACTGCTAACTGTGGCGCTAAAAACTATAAAGCGACTGTCAATGGTCAGAAAAAACTAAATTTTGGAAGAGCTTTAAGATTTTCGCAGAGGATATTACTTGAAGCAGTGACGGGGTGCAGGCAGCGGCAGTGTGCGCCGGGCCGGCGTTACGTTACGGTGACAACCCTCGGTGGTATGTATATCTGGAGCGGTACCCTTGCGTATGTATAATCTGCCATTTGTCTTGAGACATGAGATGAGTGTTCATTTTGACTGAGCAATGTTAGGTTTATATGCTCATTCAAGAGATTGTGTGGGAATTTGACTTCAAAGTTCCTCATATCATAAGATTTCATTCTAAACTTTTAAAGAAATCATTACAGTTAGTAATAAGTGTCTATAGTCTTAATAAAAACTTACAAATTGAACAAATAACTATAATTAAGTAGGTTCTTACTAGTAATATTATCCCTGAATTACATTGTAATCATGTAAAGGCTTAATTGTGTACACAAATTGTGTTTGAGTAGTGAGGCATTTGTTATTTGGACAGGTATGATGCTCGAGGGGCCCTGCACGACCTGTCGTCGCACGAAGCCCCGTCCGGGGGCTTCGACTGGCGAGTGGAGCTCACTAAAGCGGAGCTGGAAGTGGAACAACTGTGTGACGAAGAGAGGTACCGGGCCCTGCACACGGATGAAGATGAGGAGGAAATGTACAAAGGTGTGTAAACAACTTGCCATCAAACTACATACAATATTTTAGTAAGCTGATTAACTTTATGTCATCACCCATGTATGGAAGTTAACTGAAATAAATTTCTTCAATCAGACATTTAAACTAAAGAATATGTAGTTTATTTGGTTTAATTATTTTTTATCTCCATTCTCTCCTCCATGCATACTGTAATGTTGTGTTTTTCAATTAGCACTACTAACTTGTATTACATACAGAATCACAGAGAAGCGTAGAGATCTTTGGAGAAGGCTTATGTCAAGGGCAAACTGGAGATGATAAATTAGAGGACCGTTAAATTATATTTTTAAAATAATTACCTACAATGTTGTTAAAATTATTATGTAAAATGTCTTTTTCATTTTTTGTACAACAGAAGAGGAGCTGAAGCGTCTCCACGCAGCGGGCTACGGTCAAGTGGGCTTCAACTACGAGGCCACGCAGCAGGAGCCGGCCGCGCCCGCGCCTCCCGTGGAGGTCGATGAACCTTTCCTGCCTACGCCTGCGTTTAAGGCACTGCTGTCGCTGGAAATTGTCTTGGTAAGTGTATAAAGTAACGTTTTTGTATACATGCTCTGGATTTAAATAGACACGGGTCTTAACGCGACATTTATTAATGAGTTACATTATGTACTCACGGCTTGACGTTTTGGTGGCTTATTCCACTATTATTTATTATATTTATTATTTGGTTAACGGGGAATAGTGGACAAAAAGTTCACTAATCCCCGTTATATTAGGATTTTATTTTTAACGTAATGAGGGATTAATGAACTAGAATGAATGAATAGTGGAATAAGCCGTTTTGGCTGCTATACTATGTGACCACGGCTGCGCAGCATAGCATTAAGACCCGTCTCTTTCTATTTAAGTCGAAATGGAAGGTGAAAGTTTAAAATCTTATACTCTGGATTATCTGGTGGTAGTGGCCTCACTATAGAGTGGCAGGGCTGGCAATATGCCACGGGCCCCCGACCCGAGGGGGCCCTAAACGCTCTTTAGGGCGATCGTTCCAGGCCCCCATGAAAAAAAATCCCTAGATATGCCAAGGGCCCCATGCACTCAAATGGTATAGTTCGACACTGTCTGGTGGTTCTTTTAAAAATGGTATTAATATGTATAATTATGATCCTTGGACATTTATAATAGCATCATCTAGTTAGCTAGTAAATACATAAACACTGAAACCACTGAGTTATTATTAGCTTAGGGAAAAGCATGACATGAACTTGGTTGAACAATAAAACAATATTTTCAAAATAATATGATAACCCTGGGTTGCACCATCATACTTTAACTATAGCAACCATACTACAAACCAAAATCTTAAATGTGCCACACACATAAAAGAAAAAAAAAACTTTAAAAGTCTGTCAAATTCCACACATAAACACCGATTATAGTTACAGTTAAAGTGCAGAGAGGTATAATAGCTGATTTATTTATCTCCAACAGCCCGAGTCCCAAAAGCAGAACGCTATAATCGAGAAGACGGCCAAGTTCATAGCGTCCCAAGGTGCCCAGATGGAGATCTTGATTAAGGCGAAGCAGGGAGACAACCCGCAGTTCCGCTTCCTGAATAAAGATGATCCGTTGAACCCGTATTATGCTGCACTCATCGCGCTGGTCAAAGCTGGCAAATGGCCGGAGAAGGAAGTGGAGGTTGTTGAAGGTAAGTCAGTACATGGAATATCAAGCTAAATTGTAATTGTAATAGGAGCTATTTTGCATCATAAAAATGTCTGATGGGTTTATCTGCTGTAAGATGGATTTGGGAAATTAGAGGTTCTCAAAAATTGCAGTTGGTACATAAGTCTTACTATAATTTAGGTATGGCATAAAAAAGAAGTACAGTCAGTGTCAAATAGTTCGTGACACCCAAAGTCTTACTTCTTACTAATATCTTATCTTACTAAGATGTCTGGATGTTTGTTACTCTTTCACGCAAAAACTACAGAACGGATTGCTAGTAGCCAATAATTTCGCAACACGTCTTTGTTACTATTTGAATATGGTGGTGTTGTTACCTTTTTGGCCACTTTGGGTGTAACAATCTATACCTACCCATTGAAAAAAAGTTGTTGAATGACTTACTTTAAAAGTAAAAGTTTCAACATTATTAGTAACGTAGTAAATCTAAATGGTCTATGAAAAAAGTAAGCTGATGACATTTTTAATTGCTTGCCTTGTTTATTTGCAGAGAAACCACCAGAAACCGAAGAGTATCTACATCCGAGTTTGGCGTCAACAGTTATCGAGTCTGTAAGTTAAACTTTTTAATCATATTTACATTGTTAATTACGTCAATTATCGTTCAAGTGGTTGAAGATAAAGAACTGTTATTTTGAATTTGAATTGTTGTAGTGAAACAAGATTATTTGGCCTTGGCATTTAAACATGGCACATCTCCATCACATGATAGGAAGGTCGTGCATGTCTCGATTTTGATAGTTTTTTGATTCTGATACCAGTATTTCCTAATTCAAAGATTCTGAACACTGGGTATAATAAATAATTCGTTAGTAAAATTTGCTCCCAGCAAGATTCGAACCCGCAACCGATCCATTAGGCCTCAGCCTCGAGTTTAGCGGGCAGCGGGGCGGGAGCGGCGGCGGCGCGGGAGCGGGGCGGGCAACGCAGACCCGTTCTCGAAACAAGCGGGCAGCTCGCGCGGCGCTTTAGCGGCGAAGTGTTGTGTTCGGGGTTGTGTTGTCGAGATATTTGTATTTATTCGCAAACGAAATGTCTGAACAACGGCGACAATTTTATTTCGATTCAAATTTATTCCTAACGCTCGATTTACTGTCGGCAAAAGAAGGAGTGTGCTGCCCGCTCGTTGCCNACTTAAAATTCAAACCTTGGTAGCGACCCCTAAATGTCTCTTAAAAATTAAAAAAAAAATAATGAAAGACTTTCATGTGGTATATTTTCAAATTACGTGGTGCCCCGCAAAATATAAGAAAAAAAAATTTTTTCGTAGGAATAAGGACCACCCTAATATGTAGTTTATTTGGCTTTATTATTTTTTATCTCCATTCTCTCCTCCATGCATACTGTAATGTTGTGTTTTTCAATTAGCACTACTAACTTGTATTACATACAGATTCACAGAGAAGCATAGAGATCTTTGGAGAAGGCTTATGTCAAGGGCAAACTGGAGATGATAAATTAGAGGACCGTTAAATTATATTGTTAAAATAATTACCTACAATGTTGTTAAAATTATTATTTAAAATATCTTTTTTATTTTTTGTACAACAGAAGAGGAGCTGAAGCGTCTCCACGCAGCGGGCTACGGTCAAGTGGGCTTCAACTACGAGGCCACGCAGCAGGAGCCGGCCGCGCCCGCGCCTCCCGTGGAGGTCGATGAACCTTTCCTGCCTACGCCTGCGTTTAAGGCACTGCTGTCGCTGGAAATTGTCTTGGTAAGTGTATAAAGTAACGTTTTTGTATACATACTCTGGATTTAAATAAACCCGGGTCTTAACGCGACATTTATTAATGAGTTACATTATGTACTCACGGCTTGACGTTTTGGCGGCTTATTCCACTATTATTTATTATATTTATTATTTGGTTAATGGGGAATAGTGAACAAAAAGTACACTAATCCCTGTTATATTAGGATTTTATTTTTAACGTAATGAGGATTAATGAACTAGAATGAATGAATAGTGGAATAAGCCGTTTTGGCTGCTATACTATGTGACCATGGCTGCAGCATAGCATTAAGGCCCATCTCTTTCTATTTAAGTCGAAATCGAAGGCTAAACTTTAAAATCTTATACTCTGGATTGTGGTGGCAGTGGCCTAACTATAGCGTGGCAGGGCTGGCAATATGCCACGGGCCCCCGACCCGACGGGGCCCCAGCGCAAAACCCTAAACGCACCCCCCCTCGCGATACTTCAGGGCGATGGTCCCAGGCCCCCATGCAGAATAATCCCTAGATACGCCAAGGGCCCCAGGCACTCAGATGGTATAGTTCGCCACTGTGTGCTGGTTCCTTTAAAAATGGCATTAATATAATTATGACCCAAGGGTTTATAATAGCATCATCTAGTTAGTAAATACATAAACACTGAAACCACTGAGTTATTATTAGCTTAGGGAAAAGCATAACATAAACTTGTTTGAAACAACAAAAACAATAAAACAATATTTTCAAAATAATATTTATAGTAACCCTGGGTTGCATACCACCCATACTTTAACTATAGCAAACATACTACAACCCAAAATCTTAAAAGTGCCACACACATAAAAGAAAAAAAACCTTCAAAAGTATGTCAAATTCCACACAAAAACACCGATTATAGTTACAGTTAAAGTGCAGTGAGGTATAATAGCTGATTTATTTATCTTCAACAGCCCGAGTCCCAAAAGCAGAACGCCATAATCGAGAAGACGGCCAAGTTCATAGCGTCCCAAGGTGCCCAGATGGAGATCTTGATTAAGGCGAAGCAGGGAGACAACCCACAGTTCCGCTTCCTGAATAAAGATGATCCGTTGAACCCGTACTATGCTGCTCTCATTGCGCTGGTCAAAGCTGGCAAGTGGCCGGAGAAGGAAGTGGAGGTGGTTGAAGGTAAGTCAGTTTGTGGAATATCAAGCTAAATTGTAAAATTGTGATAGTAGCTATTTTGATTTGCATCGTAGAAATGTCTGATGTTTATATCTGCTGTATGGCGCAGACCACCGATTTTTAGTTGGCCGATACTTGGGTCGGGCTGTTGATCAGTATGGAGATGTATGAAAGTGCGCACATTACACCGATTTGGTATCGGCCGATTCTTCATACAAATTAGAACTGAGCCCAACTATCGGCCAACTAAAAGTTGCTTTTCTGCCCCTAGGCTTACTATAATTTATTTACTACTAGCTTTCCGCCCGCGGCTTCGCCCGCGTGGAATTTTGTCTGTCACAGAAAAACTTTATCGCGCGCGTCCCTGTTTCAAAAACCGGGATAAAAACTATCCTATGTTCTTTCCCGGGACTCAAACTATCTCTATGCCAAATTTCATCAAAATCGGTTGCGAGGTTTAAGCGGGAAAGCGTAACAGACAGACAGACAGACAGACAGACAGACAGACAGACAGACAGATACTAGCTTTTCGCCCGCGGCTTCGCCCGCGTGGAATTTTGTCTGTCACAGAAAAACTTTATCGCGCGCGTCCCTGTTTCAAAAACCGGGATAAAAACTATCCTATGTTCTTTCCCGGGACTCAAACTATCTCTATGCCAAATTTCATCAAAGTCGGTTGCGAGGTTTAAGCGGGAAAACGTAACAGACAGACAGAGTTACTTTCGCATTTATAATATTAGTTGGGATAAAAATAAAGTTCAGTCAGTGTTAAATATTTCGCGACACCCAAAGTAGGCAATAAGTTCGCAACACGTCTTTGTTACAATTGGAAAAAGGTTGTGTTATTAACTTTTTGGCCACTTTGGGTGTAACACAACCTATTTGACGCTGACTGTATCTATTGAAAAAAGTTGATGAATGACTTTCTTTAAAGGTAAAAGTTTCAACATTATTAGTAACATAGTAAATCAAAATGGTCTATGAGAAAAGTAAGCTGATAACATTTTTAATTGCTTGCCTTGTTTATTTGCAGAGAAACCACCAGAAACCGAAGAGTATCTACATCCGAGTTTGGCGTCAACAGTTATCGAGTCTGTAAGTTAAACTTTTTAATCATATTTACATTGTTAATTACGTCAATAATCGTTCAAGTGGTTGGAGATAAAAAATGTGTTATTTTGAATTTGAATTGTTGTAGTGAAACAAGATTATTTGGCCTTGGCATTTAAACATGGCACATCTCCATCACATGATAAGGAAGGTCGTGCATGTCAAGATTTTGATAGCTTTTTTATTCTAATACCAGTATTTCCTAAATCAAAGATTCTGAACACTGGGTTTATTAAATGGTTCGTTAGTAAAATTTGCTCCCAGCAAGATTCGAACCCGCAACCGATCCATTACGCGAGCCACTAGTCTAGGCAATCAATAAATGCTATACAAAAGTACTCACTTTAATTTACTCTTTTCACAGGCCCCATCAATCCCAAGCATCCATTACCGGCCGTCAGCCGACTGCGACTACACGATGCTAATATCAAAAATGCGGGGCGAAACCTCCCTAGACGAGGCCTACACGCCGGAATTAGCACCGGGCGAAGTGGCCCCGCCGGGAACTGAACCTCTGCCGCCGAGAGCGAGCGCTGAGATCGCGCGAGCACCCGTCATGTACAACGCCTCGCAGCCGCCGCCGCCTATCATTAGTGAGTCATCATCATTTCAGCCACAGGACGTCCACTGTTGAACATAGGCCTCCTTCGCAAATTATGCGCTAGCCCTGTAGTAATAAGTTTGTGCGGGGCGAAGCCTTCCTAGATGAGGCTTACACGCCGGAATTAGCACCGGGCGAAGTGGCCCCGCCGGGCACCGAACCTCTGCCCCCGAGAGCGAGTGCTGAGATCGCGCGGGCACCCGTCATGTATAACGCCTCGCAGCCGCCGCCGCCTATTAGTGAGTCATCATCATCATTTCAGCCACAGGACATCCACTGCTGAACATAGGCCTCCGTCATAGGTCTAGTTTAACTGAGACAGTGTCTAAGCTATGGGAGCGGCACGGTAGGGGTGTCATACATATGACGTGACAAATCTGAAGTCTCGCTTGCGTTTGTTGTCACAAAAATACTCTTAGGCCTGTAGTATTAAGTATGCGGAGCGAAACCTCCCTAGACGAGGCTTACACGCCGGAATTAGCACCGGGTGAAGTGGCCCCGCCAGGCACCGAACCTCTGCCGCCGAGAGCGAGCGCTGAGATCGCGCGGGCACCCGTCATGTACAACGCTTCGCAGCCGCCGCCGCCTATAATTAGTGAGTCATCTTCATCTCAGCCATAGGACGTCCACTGCTGAACATAGGCCTCCATCATAGGTCTAGCATAACTGAGACAGTGTCTAAGCTATGGGAGTGGCACGGGAGGTATCATATGAAGTGACAAATCTGAAGTCTCGCTTGCGTTTGTTGTCACAAAAATACTCTTAGGCCTGTAGTATTAAGTATGCGGGCCTTCCTGGACGAGGCTTTCACGCCGGAATTAGCACCGAGCGAAGTGGCCCCGCCGGGCACCGAACCTCTGCCGCCGAGAGCGAGCGCTGAGATCGCGCGGGCACCCGTCATGTATAACGCCTCGCAGCCGCCGCCGCCTATAATTAGTGAGTCATCATCATCTCAGCCATAGGACGTCCACTGCTGAACATAGGCCTCCATCAATGATATCCACAATGGCCGGTTGGTAGCGACCTGCATCCAGGGCCTTCCTGCTACCTTTATGAGGCCTTTACGGATAAGTGCCTCCTTAGACGAACCGTAGGACTTCTGTTAAAACTTGCGCGGACCACAGGTCAGCTCTTCAAATTCTATAGAAAAATTTGACGGCCCGATACATCTCCGCTCTGCTCCGCTCCACTCCGTCTTGGTGGAAACCGAGCCTTAAACAAGCAATGCGATGCGCTCGCCCAGCTTTTAGAAATGCAATTTTAAAAACCTTGTATTTGCCCAGCAATGAAGCTTATGACCGCAGTCTGTGGAGGAACACTATCTGTGGCCCCGATCCTCATCAGCGAGGGACCGAGAAAGAAGAGGAAGAAGAGATATGCCCAGCAAATAAATATCCTTGGACACTTTACACTGTGCCACTAGCCCCAAACTAAGCAAAGCTTGTGCTATGGGTACTAGACAACGGATATAAACAAACATACCTAAATACTTTTTTTTTGTAAAAACATACATATTATACACATAGAATGCATACAATACGATGCGCTCGCTCAATTTTTAGAAACGCAAGCTTAAAAATCTTGTAATCTTCCAGAAAATGCTTGTATGATATTGCAATATAATGTTTATTGAATAAATTGTTGCCAATTGTATTTGAAGGTGTATGCGCAAACGGTGTGTTTGCATAAATAAAATATTTGTATTTAGTCCAGGGTTCCCCAAACTATGGCGTAACGAACATTGAGTGGGTCCTGCCTGTAAAACAGATCCGACTCCTTTATTTAGGCATATTGGTAACGGTTAAATTTCCTATAGGTGGGTCCCGAGTTTGGGAACTTGTATTAGATGAGTCGTAGCCCAGGCAACTTTGGGAACCACTGCTTTAGTCAATTTAATGAATGTATTACAGGTATGCCGATCCCGCCGCCGCCGCTGTTCGCGCAGTTCCCGCCGCGCTTCCCGCCGCCCCCGCGCCCGCGCCCGCCCCCGCCCGCGCCCGCGCGCTCCGCCGGCCTCAGTCTGGTGGATCATTATAACACAGACTCTGATAGCGCTGCCTCAGGTAAATCAACAGCCACTAAAGTCCGGTCGCCGAGCACATAGAATTTCGTCCAATGACCCTAAATATCGCTTGACCCCAAATATCGCTCGCGCGTAACTATATTGCTGTCGCGTTCGCACACTCACTGCGGGCGCCCGTCGCACATTCGCGACAGCATATAATTACGCGCGAGCGATAAGGATGGGTAGCTTGGGGTCATTGGACGAAATGCTATCTGCTCGGCGACCGGATTTTTAGCAAAGTAACAGCGACGTCGCCTTTCCAGCAGTTCTCGCCCCTAAGCGATCCGCAGGGTTCAGCCTCGTAGACAACTATAAACAAACTGATAGCGCTGCATCAGGACTCAGGTAAGCCAGCAATGAACACTAGCGCCGCCGCTCTTCCAGAAGTATCCCCCATGCCGCGCCCTCCCCCGCCCACTACAATACAGACTGACAGCGCTGTCTCAGGTAAGCAAGCAGATAGCACCAGTACCATCGCTGCTGACCAGTAGTTTCCGCCCCCGCGAGCTCCGCCGGCCTCAGTCTGGTGGATCATTATAACACAGACTCTGATAGCGCTGCCTCAGGTAAGCCTACAGACACTCGTGAAACCCAGTGACCAAAAATTTGACAACACAACCTTATTCGAATTGTAACAAAGACGTGTTGCGAACTGCGCACAATCGCGACAGCACTATAATGGGGATGTTGCCTGGGTCAAAAAGCAAGAGTTTTAATTAGTCCGTCAGTTAACTTATCAAAAAATACTTTACACGTATTTTTCACTTTTTCAAACTAATGAAAATTTAAAGAGATATAGCGCCCCAAAGTTCATAAGAAGAGGCCCGTGACGTCACCGCTTGCTTAACCCTAGAGTGCTCGTGCTATGAGCATTTTGCCGCCCTCGGCAAAAAAATCGAGTTATTTTCTACACGATACGTTTGTTAAAGTCAAGCGTTTCAGTAGCTGCCTCCCCATACTTCACCTCCATGTATTAGAAATTAGAAGAAATTTAGTGCGCAGGTGACTGCCATAGAGAACGATTGTTGAACGTATGTCACGTTTTGCGGCAAATTGCTCACTGCGCGACTACTGACGTAAGTAAAATTTGTGTGTCTGGTTTTTAGTGTAGTTGGAAAATTATTAGTTTTCATTGCGTATAATGTTGTTTTGACCTTAATGACGTCATAACATTGATAATTACTATAAGTGCTTAATTTATTTCATGTCGTTTTCGGTAAAATTCACGTAAAATACAAAAAATGAAAAAACAAGGAAGAGGTCGGATTTCGAAGAAGCTGGTGCACTAAAATTAGTCGAAAATGTATACTAAAGTTATGAAGAAAGTAAACATAGTCATTACAATACTGTTATAGAACAATCAGCGGCAGAATCTGAAGATGATGTGCCAAGGGTGCAAATTTACTGTGCAACGCACATTAAATGCACATGTGACAGGCCTGTTTTGTTGAAGCATATGTCATATGTAAGGAAAACCTTTAAGTGTGCTAATAAGTTTCATATTTGATGATGTATGTAAATAAAAACAATAGTGTTTCTAAGATTTCTATAAATATTTCTTAACAATTCCAAAATATGTTTTTTTCTTTAAATTTTTACCACAAATCTTTAATAAGCGTTATTTTCTAATAGTGTATGCTTTATCCTATCATTTTTAACTGATTTCCATATTTTTAAACTGTTATTTGACACACAACCGGACTTTAAGTTTGGGCGGCAAAATGCTCATACGCGAGCACTCACGTTTCACGGAAAGGCGCGACTACTCTAGGGTTAAAAATGCCGCACGTTGTGACGTCGTGCGCAACTTCAACGCACCATAACTATGTAATTATTTGTTAGATTGACAAATAAAATTATATGTGTCCAATATTTTTTGATATTAAACATTACGGACTAAAAAAATTTTTTTAGGCAACTAGCCTATTATGCGGTAGCTTGGGGTCATTGGACGAAATTCTATCTGCTTAGCGACCGGATTTTAGCAAAGTAACAGCGGCGTCGCCTTTCCAGCAGTTCTCGGTTTCGACCTCGTAGACAACTATAAACAAACTGATAGCGCTGCATCAGGACTCAGGTAAGCCAGCTATGAACACTACCGCCGCCGCTGTTCGCGCAGTTCCCGCCGCGCTTCCCGCCGCCCCCGCGCCCGCGCCCGCCCCCGCCCGCGCCCGCGCGCTCGGCTGGCCTTAGTCTGGTGGATCATTATAACACAGACTCCGATAGCGCTGCCTCAGGTAAGCCTACAGGCACTCGTGACACCCAGTGACCAAAAATTTGACAACACAACCTTATTCGAATTGTAACAAAGACGTGTTGCGAACTTATTACCTACTTTGAGCGTCAAGAACGTAGTACGAGCAACGTCCGCTCCGCCGGCCTCAGTCTGGTCGACCACTACAATACAGACTCCTATAGCGCTGCCTCAGGTAAGCTGCAGATAGCACCAGTCCCCGCCCTAGTTACCGCCTCAGCGCGCTCGGCCTCAGTCTGGTGGATCATTATAACACAGACTCTGATAGCGCTGCCTCAGGTAAACCTACAGACACTCGTGACACCCAGTGACCAAAAAGATGACAACACAACCTTATTCGAATTGTAACAAAGACGTGTTGCGAACTGCGCACAATCGCGACAGCACTATAATTATGCGGTAGCTTGGGATCATTGGACGAAATTCTATCTGCTCAGCGACCGGATTTTAGCAAAGTAACAGCGGCGTCGCCTTTCCAACAGTTCTCGGATTCGACCTCGTAGACAACTATAAGCAAACTGATAGCGCTGCATCAGGACTCAGGTAAGCCAGCTATGAACATTAGCGCCGCCGCTGTTCCCGCAGTTCCCGCCGCGCTTCCCGCCGCCCCCGCCCGCGCCCGCGCGCTCCGCCGGCCTCAGTCTCGTCGACCACTACAATACAGACTCCGATAGTGCTGCCTCAGGTATCATCATCATCATCAGATCATTTGTGTTCTCCCCTACAGAAAGACGACCGTCTTTTATTTACCAGACGCAAATGAGGAAGTATGACAGAACAGCAGGGCAGGTAGGCTTTGGCCTACACTCCCTATGATAGCATATTTCCAAAGTCGCCCCTTTAAAACAATATATTCTATTTTACCAAAACCACACAGCTATGACTACGTGGTGTCCTACCATTAACAACAATCACCAAACATAATTTGAATGTCTAGTAAATTGATAAACTTTCAAGATTTTATATGACAAAAGAATCTAACTTTATCACAAAAATATCGATTTTCGAGGCTAGAATGAAGTGCTTCTTATGAAATGTTTTTCTACCCTATACAGCATTCGAACATTCTGCGTATGTTTCCTTCAGCGCTCAAAATTCGTGTCAGAAACTATAACAAAATACACGTAAAAAATAATATGTTTTTTCAATTACTTACAATGTTCTACTATTTCCCCACAGATTCCGATGACAGCTCATCATCTGACAAAACTCCCATCCCCACCCCACCCGAGGATGTTCAACTCGTCATAGACAAGATGGCTGCCTATGTGGCTCGCAACGGTGACGAGTTCGCCGAAATCGTGCGCTCGAAAAACGACCCTCGGTTCACGTTCTTAGAGCCCAGTAATGTGTACCACGCGTATTACAAGAGGCTGATGCAGCAGAAGCGAGGCGATGTTAATGGGAAAGGGAAGGATGCGAAAAAAAAGAGCTCTGGTGAGTTATTAAAATTTCTTAGCGATTGAGTCGCTTATCAAACTAAATCTATATATATAAAAATGAAACCCGTTTCGCGTTGTCACGGCATCACGTGTGAACGGCTGAACCGATTTCGATAATTCTTTTTTTTTAATGTTTGTGGAAGTCCAAGGATGGTTCTTACGGAAAAAAATATTAAGAAAATCTCTACGCTAAGGCGGTACGAAGTTCGCCGGGTCAGCTAGTTATAAATAAACAACTTGAAAAAATCGAACTGCCTGTTGTCACTAGATCACAGAGCACAGACATCTATACTAATATTATAAAGCTGAAGAGTTTGTTTGTTTGTTTACTTGAACACGCTAATCTCCGGAACTACTGGTCCGATTTGAAAAATTCTTTCAGTGTTAGATAGCCCATTTATCGAGGAAGGCTATAGGCTATACAACATCACGCTACGATCAATAGGAGCAGAGCGACAATCAAAAATGTTGCGAAGACGGGTTTTCACGCGTACGAAGTCGCGGGCACAGCTAGTGTTGACATAAAAGACACACCATGAAGTCTAAGATCGTTATACAAATTGTTATTATACAAGTTACAAACCAAAATAAATCATTTATATTATTTTTGTTTTATTGTGGATATAAAGTAACTCTTCTTTTTTTGCAGCCCCTGTATCTTTTTCAATAAAAAAGCTAAAAGAACCGGATCCAATCCTTCCCAAACCAGCGCTTCCCTACGAATCGAGTTCAGAAGACGAGTCGGAAAAAACGGAAAAGGCGGAAGAGCCCAAAGAGTCTCCCAAATCAACCGCCCCCCAAATATTCCCCGCTGCACACATACCCCCAATAGTCGTCTACAAGATTGAAAACCAGACCAACGATATGCCCAAACCCATAGCACCAGTCAAACCTATCCCCCAAGTGATACCTACCGTCTTACCGGAGATGAAAGAAGTAAANGGCAACGCAGACCCGTTCTCGAAACAAGCGGGCAGCTCGCGCGGCGCTTTAGCGGCGAAGTGTTGTGTTCGGGGTTGTGTTGTCGAGATATTTGTATTTATTCGCAAACGAAATGTCTGAACAACGGCGACAATTTTATTTCGATTCAAATTTATTCCTAACGCTCGATTTACTGTCGGCAAAAGAAGGAGTGTGCTGCCCGCTCGTTGCCCGCTCCCGCGCCGCTGCCCGCTCGTTGCCCGCTCCCGCGCCGCCGCCGCTCCCGCCCCGCTGCCCGCTAAACTCGAGGCTGAGGCCTTACGCGAGCCACTAGTATAGGCAGTCAATAAATGCTATACAAAAGTACTCACTTTTATTTACTCTTTTTTCACAGGCCCCATCAATCCCAAGCATCCATTACCGGCCGTCAGCCGACTGCGACTACACGATGCTAATATCAAAAATGCGGGGCGAAACCTCCCTAGACGAGGCCTACACGCCGGAATTGGCACCGGGTGAAGTGGCCCCGCCGGGAACCGAACCTCTGCCGCCGAGAGCGAGCGCTGAGATCGCGCGAGCACCCGTCATGTACAACGCCTCGCAGCCGCCGCCGCCTATCATTAGTGAGTCATCATCATCATTTCAGCCACAGGACGTCCACTGCTGAACATAGGCCTCCGTCATAGGTCTAGCTTAACTGAGACAGTGTCTAAGCTATGGGAGCGGCACGGTAGGGGTGTCATACATATGACGTGACAAATCTGAAGTCTCGCTTGCGTTTGTTGTCACAAAAATACTCTTAGGCCTGTAGTATTAAGTATGCGGGGCGAAGCCTCCCTAGACGAGGCTTCCACGCCGGAATTAGCACCGGGCGAAGTGGCCCCGCCGGGAACTGAACCTCTGCCGCCGAGAGCGAGCGCTGAGATCGCGCGGCCACCCGTCATGTATAACGCCTCGCAGCCGCCGCCGCCTATCATTAGTGAGTCATCATCATTTCAGCCATAGGACGTCCATTGATGAACATAGGCCGCCTTCGCAAATTATGCGCAACACCTGTAGTATTAAGTATACGGGATGAAACCTCCCTAGATGAGGCTTCCACGCCGGAATTAGCACCGGGTGAAGTGGCCCCGCCGGGAACTGAACCTCTGCCGCCGAGAGCGAGCGCTGAGATCGCGCGGGCACCCGTCATGTATAACGCCTCGCAGCCGCCGCCGCTTATAATTAGTGAGTCATCATCATCATTTCAGCCACAGGACGTCCACTGCTGAACATAGGCCTCCGTCATAGGTCTAGCTTAACTGAGACAGTGTCTAAGCCACGGGAGCGGTACGGGAGGGGTGTCTTATGACGTGACAAATCTGAAGTCTCGCTTGCGTTTGTTGTCACAAAAATACTCTTAGGCCTGTAGTATTAAGTAAGTATGCGGGGCGAAACCTCCTTGGACGAGGCTTTCACGCCGGAATTAACACCGGGCGAAGTGGCCCCGCCGGGCACCGAATCTCTGCCGCCGAGAGCTGGCGCTGAGATAGCGCGTGCCACCATAGGACATCCACTGCTGAACATAGGCCTCCATCAATGATTTCCACAATGGCCGGTTGGTTAGTGAGTATGCGGTCTATTATTACAGGTTTAGCGCTTAAATGAGTCAGTGCCTTGAGTATAGGAACGGCACGGGAGGGATGTCATATGATTTGACAAATCTGAAGTCTCGCTGACGCTTGTCGTCACAAAAACACTCCCGTGCTGCTTCCATACCTCAGGCACTAATTCAATTGTGTTCTAGATCTGTAGTATTAATATACGGGGCCGAGGCATCCCTAGAATGGAGAGGTGCTAGCCCCTTCACTCCAAAACCCTGCTGCCCCATCGGCCGTCAGTTCTGCGTACTATATGCCCTGCCCTGCCCACTTCAGCTTGCTAATCCGTCGGACTATGTTAGCGACTTTAGTTCGTTTGACGGATCTCATACTCGCTAGCACACGGTTGTTTCCGTGCTTTTAAGCGATTTTGTGAAAAATATTATTGGTAGGTAGTTGCTAATTGCTCATAAGATAGGCCCCCTTAATTGATATTTATTATCCGTGGTGCATAATCTTTTCTTAAAGGTTTTAAACCTTTGTTTGTCACCTGTCATCCGCAATGGAGGGAAGTCGAACCTTAATTTCGAACTCCTCCTATGTTCTTCTGATTAATTTCTTTGCTAATTTTCCCCCGGGACAAACTTGACCTTCATTGGTTGGGTTTTTAGCGGTCAAGCTGTAGATCCTGACTACACAAGAGTTGCAGTGGTGGGAAGGAGAGGTGGGAATAGCACGCGGTATAACTCCACCTTACTCTTTCTGCATGACCACAGTGCATTGTTTCTATGTGTGCTAAAGTTTAAATGAATAAATAAATATAACTTTGAGCTTATTTATAAAGCTTAAAGTGAAATGCTTTAATCGACTTAATTCATGTGTTATTTTCTCACAGGTATGCCGATCCCGCCGCCGCCGCTGTTCGCGCAGTTCCCGCCGCGCTTCCCGCCGCCCCCGCGCCCGCGCCCGCCCCCGCCCGCGCCCGCGCGCTCCGCCGGCCTCAGTCTGGTGGATCATTATAACACAGACTCTGATAGCGCTGCCTCAGGTAAGAAGCAGATAGCACCAGTACCATCGCTGCCGTACCAGTAGTTCCCGCCCCCGCGGGCTCGGCCGGTCTAAGTATGAGATATTACTACAACACAGACTCCGATAGCGTTGCATCAGGTAAGCCAGCGATAAACACTAGCGCCGCCGCTGTTCGCGCAGTTCCCGCCGCGCTTCCCGCCGCCCCCGCGCCCGCGCCTGCGCGCTCCGCCGGCCTCAGTCTCGTCGACCACTACAATACAGACTCCGATAGTGCTGCCTCAGGTAATCCAACAGGCACTAGCAAAGTTACAGCGGCGTCGCCTTTATAGCAGTTCCTAGTAGGGGTTCCTACTCGCTCCGCCGGTCGACTGACCGGCACATAGAATTTCGTCCAATGACCCCAAGCTGCCCATCCTTATCGCTCGCGCGTAATTGCTGTCGCGTTCGCACACACACTGCGGTTGCACGTCATACATTCGCGACAACACTATAATTATGCGCGAGCGATAAGGATGGGTAGCTTGGGGTCATTAGACGAAATTCTATCTGCTCGGTGACCGGATTTTAGCAAAGTAACAGCGGCGTCGCCTTTTCAGCAGTTCTCGCCCCTAAACGATCCGCAGGGTTCGGCCTCGTAGACACCTATAAACAAACTGATAGCGCTGCATCAGGACTCAGGTAAGCCAGCAATGAACACTAGCGCCGCCGCTCTTCCAGAAGTATCCCCCATGCCGCGCCCTCCCCCGCCCACTACAATTCAAATTCAAATTTTTTATTGCTTATTAAGTGTTTACAATTGGGTCTTAATCTAAACAATGAGCTTATAACTTAATACAGACTGACAGCGCTGTCTCAGGTAAGCAGCAGATAGCACCAGTACCATCGCTGCCGTACCAGTAGTTTCCGCCCCCGCGAGCTCGGCCGGTCTAAGTATCAGAGATTACACAGACTCCGATAGCGTTGCATCAGGTAAGCCAGCAATAAACACTAGCGCCGCCGCTGTTCACGCAGTTCCCACAGTTCCCGCCGCCCCCGCGCCCGCGCCCGCCCCCGCCCGCGCCCGCGCGCTCGGCTGGCCTCAGTCTGGTGGATCATTATAACACAGACTCTGATAGCGCTGCCTCAGGTAAATCAACAGCCTCTAAAGTCCGGTCGCCGAGCACATAGAATTTCGTCCAATGACCCCAAGCTGCCCATCCTTATAGCTGTCGCGTTCGCACACTCACTGCGGGCGCCCGTCGCACAGTCGCGACAGCACTATAATTACGCGCGAGCGATAAGGATGGGTAGCTTGGGGTCATTGGACGAAATTATATCTGCTCGGCGACCGGATTTTAGCAAAGTAACAGCGGCGTCGCCTTTTCAGCAGTTCTCGCCCCTAAACGATCCGCAGGGTTCGGCCTCGTAGACAACTATAAACAAACTGATAGCGCTGCATCAGGACTCAGGTAAGCCAGCAATGAACACTAGCGCCGCCGCTCTTCCAGAAGTATCCCCCATGCCGCGCCCTCCCCCGCCCACTACAATTCAAATTCAAATTTTTTATTGCTTATTAAGTGTTTACAATTGGGTCTTAATCTAAACAATGAGCTTATAACTTAATACAGACTGACAGCGCTGTCTCAGGTAAGAAGCAGATAGCACCAGTCTCATCGCTGCCGTACCAGTAGTTCCCGCCCCCGCGAGCTCGGCCGGTCTAAGTATCAGAGATTACTACAACACTCCGATAGTGCTGCCTCAGGTAAGCAACACATAGCACCAGTCCCCGCCCTAGTTACCGCCTCAGCGCGCTCGGCCTCAGTCTCGTGGACCACTATAACACAGACTCCGATAGTGCTGCCTAAGGTAAATCAACAGACATTAGCAAAGTAACAGCATTTCCAAAAGTTCCTGCTCCTACGCGCTGCGCCCGTCTCATGCCCGTTGATGAAAACGGGCATCAGCCTCATAGATTACTACAACACCGACTCCGATAGTGCTGCCTCAGGTATTTCAACAGCCACTTTAGTCCGCGTTCGCACACTCACTGCGGCCGCCCGTCACACAGTCGCGACGGCACTATAATTACGCGCGAGCGATAAGGATGGGTAGCTTGGGGTCATTGGACGAAATTCTATCTGCTCAGCGACCGGATTTTAGCAAAGTAACAGCGGCGTCGCCTTTCCAGCAGTTCTCGGGTTCGACCTCGTAGACAACTATAAACAAACTGATAACTCTGCATCAGGACTCAGGTAAGCCAGCTATGAACATTAGCGCCGCCGCTGTTCCCGCAGTTCCCGCCGCCCCCGCCCGCGCCCGCGCGCTCCGCCGGCCTCAGTCTCGTCGACCACTACAATACAGACTCCGATAGTGCTGCCTCAGGTTAACCCAGAGCATAAAGTTGTTATACCTACCTTAGGCTTCAACCACACCAACGCGTGCACATCGCCATCGCCAGCCCGCGACCTATGACAGTCCGCGCGACCCATGACAGTCGGCGCGACCCATGATAGTCCGCGCGACCTGTCATTGGCCTATAATCGCGCCGGCGATGGCGATCTACACGCGTTGGTGTGGTTGAAGCATTAGACGTTTCACTCTTCCAAAAGCGGTCGTGGTCACGTTCAACGTGGCGTCAAAAGGTTGTGGGCACAGCTACCAAAAATTACCAAAGTGAGAATTGGATCACTACATGCCCGGACATACATACATGCCTATCGATCTTATCAATAGATCATAATTAAAACAAGCAAATTAGGGTTGTGGGCATGCCCACAGTGCCCACAACGGTGGATCCGCGCCTGCGTTGAGGCGTTCACGTCGGTTGTACGGGGCGGATACAGCTTTTCGCACGATCTCCCGCCATCGCTCCATGTTAACGAACTGCCTGGTGCAGTCAGATACGCTTCCCACTGCAAATTTTACTTGGTCAGTCCAGCGCAAAATGTCACTAGCAGCAATACTGTGATAAAAAGCGATGCGTGATGCCGTCGCTGCACCTACCATGTTACAAATGCAGGAATCTACTAAAATCTATGCCTGTTAGTTACAACGCCCATAGGCATATTTCCCTCAACGCTTGAGATCCGTATCAGAAACTAATATAACTAATATTAACATGTAAAAATATTTCTTTCGCTTACTATCCTTTATTCAAAGATATTTATTTATTTATGATTCCACTTACAGATTCCGATGACAGTTCATCATCTGACAAAACTCCCATCCCCACCCCACCCGAGGACGTTCAACTAGTCATAGACAAGATGGCCGCGTACGTAGCCCGCAATGGTGACGAGTTCGCGGAGATCGTGCGCTCGAAAAACGACCCTCGGTTCACGTTCTTAGAGCCCAGTAATGTGTACCACGCGTATTACAAGAGACTGATGCAGCAGAAGCGAGGCGATGTCAATGGGAAAGGGAAGGAGGCAAAGAAAAAGAGCTCTGGTGAGTTGTTAAAATTTCTTAGCGATTGAGTCGCTTATCAAACTAAATTATAAATAAACAACTTGAAAAAATCGAACTGCCTGGGGTCACTAGATCACAGAGCACAGACATCTATACTAATATTATAAAGCTGAAGAGTTTGTTTGTTTGTTTACTTGAACGCGCTAATCTCCGGAACTACTGGTCCGATTTGAAAAATTCTTTCAGTGTTAGATAGCCCATTTATCGAGGAAGGCTATAGGCTATACAACATCACGCTACGATCAATAGGAGCAGAGCAACAGTGAAAAATGTTGCGAAAACGGGTTTTCACGCGTACGAAGTCGCGGGCACAGCTAGTGTTGACATAAAAGACACACCATGAAGTCTAAGATCGTTATACAAATTGTTATTATACAAGTTACAAACCAAAATAAATAATTTATATTATTTTTGTTTTACTGTGGAAATAAAGTAACTTTTTTCTTTTTCTGCAGCGCCTGTATCTTTCTCAATAAAAAAGCTGAAGGAACCAGATCCAATCCTTCCCAAACCAGCGCTTCCCTACGAATCGAGTTCGGAAGACGAGTCGGAAAAAACAGAAAAGGCGGAAGAGCCCAAAGAGTCTCCTAAATCAACCGCCCCCCAAATATTCCCCGCTGCACACATACCCCCAATAGTCGTCTACAAGATTGAAAACCAGACCAACGATATGCCCAAACCCATAGCACCAGTCAAACCTATCCCCCAAGTGATACCTACCGTCTTACCGGAGATAAAAGAAGTAAAAGAAATAGAAAAGAAAGAAGAAAAACCGATCCAAGAAGAAATCAAAATAAAATCTCCGACGCCTGACAAGAAAGTTGAGAAAAAAGTAAAAGAAAGCCCTAGGAAAGAAAAAAGAAAACATAGGGATAGGAAAAAAGAATACAAATCTAAGTCGGAGAGCAAAGAGTCTAAGAGAGTGGAGCGGAGTGTAGATAGAGAGAAGAAAAAAGATAGAGACGGGGAGAAAGAGAAAAAGAAACGAAGGTATAGCAGAGAAGAGTTGGACAGTGAGATTATTTCGCTGGTTGACACTACGGACGATCTAATTGACTTGACTGGCGACCAGGATTCTAAAGGTATATAAATATCATGTATTTGGGTAGAAAGATAGAGGTTTTATGTTGTTCTGTTGATTGATGTAAAGACATAGAGTATAGTATTATGAGGAAAAATTACTTTTAGATCAATTACCTACTTATTTATTCAAGATACTAATTTATACATTTCCAACATTATAACACCTTAAAGTTAGTACTTCTTGCTTTGAATGCTCCAATCGAACTGCCTGTCCGGCGGCATGCCCGCGATAAGGCAACTTCCCCTTCCATTCGTCAAAGTCAACCGGCTCGAAACGACTTATCGACAGCATGCCCCGGAAGTAGTCAAAATCAATACTTAAATAACAATTTATTTCTAAATTACTAAACTGTATACAATAAAAATTCTAAAATAATTACATTAAATAATAAACATGAAATATGTAATTGAATATAATACAGAATAAATTCTGAAACCATTATAATATCTGCAACAATGTCCAGGAAGTAATCAAGTAAAGTATTTAATTTTAATAATGGGTTTTTAAATTCTACCAAAATTATTACAATAACTATCTATAAGCAACTAATAATCGTATAAAATACAATATTAATTCTAAAATCATTACAGTATGATCCTTGCGTCCATATTTTCTGTGTGATTAAGGTTCCAAAATTGCCGATTGCTTGGCAAAGACAAGATAAGACTGTTCGTCAGCTCAATGAGGGCTATCGTTTTTATACTTAACAGTTGGCACCCCTGGCGATTGACAGGACCTTACTCTACAGTGGCGCCATCTTGATGAGTGCAAATGCGATAGTCCTCCTACCACTTTAGCGCTCACAAGTTGGTGCCACTGTCTTCGCTACTAGCAAGTGACAGGACCTTACTCTACAGTGGCGCTAACTGGTGAGCGCTAAAACGATAGCCCTCATTGACTATTGTAACTATTGTATTAATTAAAAGTTACTAATTGAAATTAAAGTCAATTAGAAACTAATTGGGTTTTCAATCCTAGAATTATGTGTTCTTTAGAAAAGTAGGGTCTTGAAATGATTCATGAACTACTCAGGCAACGATTGTATAGTTAACAGCACAATAGACTACTTATTATAACCTATTATAATAACTACATAAGATGCCACAGTTAGGCATCTAGCCGTTGTGGAAATCCTTGGGGAAGCTTGTGTCCAGCAGTGGAGAGTGGACGTGATTTGGCTGAAACGAACGAAGATGTATAGTCTGGTCGCAATTATTGCGGGCGCCCGTCGCACAGTCGCGACAGCAATATAATTACGCGCGAGCGATAAGGATGGGTAGCTTGGGGTCATTGGACAAAATTCTACGTGCTCGGAGACTGGGCTTTAGCAGTAGTTTCCTGTCGTCTGTACGCTTAACTTATTTAATTACTACTCACAGGCGAATCAGACGCGCGCTCCAGCGACCGCGCCAAGCAACAGGCGCGCCGACGCCGCGCCGCCGAGTTCCTGAAGAAAGTCGGCGTGGACCCCGCCGCCGCCGCGCTGCCTACATCTTCCTTAGCCAGCGCCATGGTCAGTGTTTGTTCTTTGTCTTCTGTGTGCCTTTTTAATACAGATAAAGACTCATTTAAATTCTCGTCTCGATATAGCTTTAAATTATCACTTTAACGGAATTTGGCAACAAAACACTTTTATAAAAGGAGATAATAAAAAGGTATTTATTATTCTTGCTTCATTTCCAGGTGGACACATTGGAATCGTTGCGAAAGAAGAAAGCCGAAGAGGAGGAGAAACGAAGAAAACGCGAGAAGAGACGCCATCGAGACCGATATGGTAAGGACCATAGACAAAAATATCTGATATACGAGAAGTAACCTTAATTCCGTGCCATAGAGTTCATATTTGAATACGAAAACGTGTAATTTCTGAAGTGATAACAACTACGATTTTTTATTTTTCTAGATTATGAAAATGGGTCTGAAAGGTCACACAGAAAGAGCAAACGCAGAAAGAACAAGTAAGTAGGATCTAGAAACCTAGTATTAAAACAAGTAACAAATTAAATACATAGTCAAGAAATCAGAAACATTTACTATAATTTTTTTAAATTAATATCGCTATATTTACTCAATTCGTTACATACACAAACTGCCTTTTTAAACATTTAATAAACACGATTTATGTTTTTACAGGTCATCAGAAGAAAATGACGAGTCGGATTATGACGGGTAAATATAATTTAATATCGATAATTTCCAAATCATTACCGGACCTTACAAGCTAGCAAGTAGATAAGTGATACGCAAATAAACGCATGTCTCTTCTAATACCAACATACAACCCGATAAAGCTATCTGCGCAAGACTCTCTCGCACTCTCCCGCACACCTCCGGTTCATCCTGTCCGTACCATTGCGTCGATGTGACGTCACAGCAGCCAGTTGCGCAGTTTACTCGACCGGGTTGTAGTTTGAACACGATATATGGGTTTGAACCTACAACCACAGCTAGCATTGTTGTCTGCCTCGTTAACCACAACATTAATTCTACTTCCAGCACCAAAAAGAAAAAACGAAAGAAGGAAAGACGACACGCCTCCAAAAGCAAAAAGCGGAGGCGCCGAGACGAACCAATGGAGGAGGAAGAAGGAGAAATTGACCACCCCATCAATATTGACCTCACGAGCACTCTGAAGGAACTCAGAAACGCTTCCCCCACCAAAGAACTGGTACAAGACATTGATGACAACACGCAGCAAAGCTTTGTAAGGCAGGAAGACTCCTCGGAGGATGAGAATGGAGAAGTGAGAAGGGATAGAAGAAGGAAGAAAGAAGATAGGGAGTATAGTGAGGGAGAGTGGTCCAGCGATACGGAGCAGGACTCCGGGTCGTCTTATAGCGGGAAAGAAGAATGATAATCAGGTAAGAGAAATAGGAATTAGAATAACTTTATTCAGCATATAACAGAAAGTTGCCTAAGGCCCGATTCGACCAAACTTTTATCCGAGAATAACTCCTGGTACAACTGGCACATTGACAGTTTCAGTATGGGAAATAATATGTCAAAATGTCGAATAACTGACGATTTAATCTCAGAATTAATATTTACTCTTGTTTGGTCGAATCCACCCTAAGTACACACAATATTGAGGAGAATGATAATTTTTTACTTCTTTTTCACGTAAATCCTTGAAGTTTTGACGTGTGGTCATAGTGGAATAAAACCACTCCCACTCTTACCGTAGATGTAAAAGGCGACTAAGGGACAAATATGCGAACATCGCGGTTCCCGAACCCCAAGCGGGTTCAGCGTAGAAAGTGTAGACCAAAATAATACACCTTGCTTTGCTTCAAGTAAATTAAAGAGGATCTTACTCCTGCAGTAGAGATTAAATAACTTGTTGATGATGATGCCCTAAAATAGTTAAAAANATTGATGACAACACGCAGCAAAGCTTTGTAAGGCAGGAAGACTCCTCGGAGGATGAGAATGGAGAAGTGAGAAGGGATAGAAGAAGGAAGAAAGAAGATAGGGAGTATAGTGAGGGAGAGTGGTCCAGCGATACGGAGCAGGACTCCGGGTCGTCTTATAGCGGGAAAGAAGAATGATAATCAGGTAAGAGAAATAGGAATTAGAATAACTTTATTCAGCATATAACAGAAAGTTGCCTAAGGCCCGATTCGACCAAACTTTTATCCGAGAATAACTCCTGGTACAACTGGCACATTGACAGTTTCAGTATGGGAAATAATATGTCAAAATGTCGAATAACTGACGATTTAATCTCAGAATTAATATTTACTCTTGTTTGGTCGAATCCACCCTAAGTACACACAATATTGAGGAGAATGATAATTTTTTACTTCTTTTTCACGTAAATCCTTGAAGTTTTGACGTGTGGTCATAGTGGAATAAAACCACTCCCACTCTTACCGTAGATGTAAAAGGCGACTAAGGGACAAATATGCGAACATCGCGGTTCCCGAACCCCAAGCGGGTTCAGCGTAGAAAGTGTAGACCAAAATAATACACCTTGCTTTGCTTCAAGTAAATTAAAGAGGATCTTACTCCTGCAGTAGAGATTAAATAACTTGTTGATGATGATGCCCTAAAATAGTTAAAAATACATTTATTTTGCCTTTTTAAACCGACTGCCAACATTTTTTGTTAACATTAACTCCTTGAAGAAGTTTGCTTCTAAAACGCCCATTTGTGTATTAGAAAAACTTGAACGAAAGAACATTCGAATCGGTCAGCTATGTAAAATTAGATGAGATGAATTCAATTGTTCTTTTACCTAAGTAATAAATCAACATTAAAGTTTATGTTATCAATTCTTTTGTTTTAGGTACACCAACGACAAATATTCCCCGACACAAAAGACTTAGTTAAGTAGATTATGATTTCTTAACGAATTATGAATGTAATATGTATTTATAAATATAGATTTCGTATTGTTCTAAATTACATTTTATTTTAATCCTTCGCCATTTTATACAGCGACATCTAGTTTTAATGCTCCAAGAAATTACGCGAAGTTTGTACCTACTATAGGTAACGAGTGACGTCACGTTAACATTTTCTAAATTGTATTTTTTCTGACTGATTACTGATCAACAATATACGCCGTAGAAACACACGTTAATGTTAAACGTTATCAAATACAAGGTAATATTTCTTTAAAGCGCAGTAGTTAAACAGTCAGTATTGTCCTTTTTTGAGTACACACTGCACACAATAATTGCTCTGTGTCTCATTATAATATTACCGTTTTACCAGTAATCTAATAGCACAGAATAATAATAAGTACTGCTAATAGTCACAATAGGGTCGCACTCATGGAGTCCTTTTTGAATGTCATTAATTAAAATTTACGATATAATTAATTTGAATGCTTATTATTAATAGTGATAGTGAGATAGGTAGTACATTTGCTATTACATAAATAATACTAAAAGAAACATAGCGAGTGTTTTGGGTACACCACTGGCTTATCATTGAATTAATAACATTTAAAATGTTTATTTACATCTTTTATCATCATTATGTTTTCATTATAAAGATAAAATCACTGTTTGCTTACATGCAAAACTCATAAACTTATGGGTTATCAATATGTATTTTTCCCAAAATTATGGGTCAAATAAGTCCCAAAGCATTGAAAATTCAGAAAAATCTATTTAATTTTATATCCAAAACAAATCTAAATTTTTATGTTGTCAAATCGCGATGTCACTCTCACTCATTGATAGATAACAATTGAAACTAATGACGTCACTTATTTTGCTGTTATTGTTCCGAGTGCTAACCCAAGTTTTTGTTTACTGATTTCATATAGCTATCTAAGTTGGGTTCTAGGGCTAAATTAAATTTATACAAACTACTAAATTACATACGCCCTGTATAAAGAAGTAAACAGCAAAGCAATTCGACGGTGGCTAAAGGATAAACTTGTCTGCGAACGTCAATAGCAGATAATCATTTTCTAAGCCGCGGTGTTCTGCTTATCTTATCTGATATTTGTTCTATCCCGCGAAGTCCTGAGATCAACACAACATAGAATAATAATCAGCGTGAATAGAGATACACACAAGGACAGTTTGACGATTTTATTCATACAACTTTATGGAATAAACGATTTCAAAAGCGTGCATCAAAATAGTGCAAATCGAGTCACATACACTATTTTTATACTACATAGGCACTAAGAAGAACAGTAAATAAATTATACATATTGCTCCTATCATAAGAGCAAATGGAACTTAATCATTTCTTGCTGTCTGTACATCAGACTACATTTTCGTTGCAATTGCACCCGTGTCAACATTCAACAAAATTTCCGGCAAAAAATGTTGATTTTGTTGATTGTGTAGAGCAAAACGCGCTGGAGACCCAGCATAATTATTACTGTGTAATAGATAAAGCGCCCCTGGTTGTTGCTTGATGTGCTTTCGTCTACTAAGTGGGGACTTTACAGAAAACGGCCGATATCGGCCTGAACAAATAGGATAGATTAGTCAATAAAAACTAACTCAAAATAGAAGGCAACTTTTCAATGTCCCTTTATTTATTGACAAACAGACTGCGTAATAATCTTCTATTGTTATCAGCATCACCCATATCGGTAGTACTTGACGAGTAATCCCTTGTGAGTGGCTAGATCACCTCTCTTGACGTTCCCGGGTTATCTTCCTGGGTCGTGCCCCACGCCAATTTTATGGAAAATTTTAAACAAAACATTTTAACGACGATATCTTATTTCTAATCGACCGCTAGTTTTTGTTAGTACATGGGACAAACTTGACCATAATACATAATATTATACAAATCGTTCGTTCGTTTCAGCCAAATGACGTCTACTGCTGGATAAAGGCCCGCAGTGCCCGCGTAAATTTCTCTAGTGGCGAACACGGGCTGGAAGACGTAGGGCAGGCCTTCCCACAGGTAGACCGAGGATCTGGTGAAGGTCGCGGAAAGTACCTGGATTATACTTACATATTTATTTTTAAGTGTCTGCTTCACCCAAAGGTTGACTGGAAGAGAATGCCATATGACATCAAGTTCGCCTTTTGTGCTGTTATTTAAAAGTTTTAAATAAATATGTAGGTACAACAGTGACTTACGCATTTAGACCGTGGCAGGAGGCGCGGCCCGCTACCCCGCTGGGGTCAATTTGCGAATTATATTTAGATTGACCTCGCGGTTAGATGACACATAAATATGCATCATTGTCCGTCCGACTCACGTGACTGTTACGAACAGTGATCATAAAGTTTTGTTTAGGTTTCTCACATTTTTTCAAAATTTTCAAGGTGGACACTGCGTAACATGCTACAGCCGTCCCTTACTGAAATATTGGAAAGTTTGATCAAAATAAATACAAAAAATATCTCCTCTGTCGGAATCAGAATCCACACACAGCCTGTATAAGATACCCCTATGTGATTTTTTATAAGTTTTCTTTCAAATAAACTTTAACTTTCATGTTAGATAATAAGTACTTATCTGGAATTTAAAGCCTTTAACTTAAAGAGCCTACTCATTCACAAAAGTCAATTAAAAAGCAACACTGTTCAGATGAATAGGGATGCCAGATTTAGAAATATGATTGGCTAGGTACAATAAATCATCACGATTTTAATAAACGCCATGTTATGATTTTTAAAGGGGTTATTTAATAACGTGGCGGAAATAATTGATGTAACATGCATTTAGCATGTTTTTTTTTGTTAAATTAATGGTTAAAAACTATCGACTCTTAAAAAATTGTCACCAATAATATACATGGTGTTGTGCCACTTGCCGAGTCCCTGATAGCTTACTGAGAACTTTCTGATTATTTTCCTATTTCTTGGATCTTTATTGTTTTGACAGCTTCTAACTCTTAAGTTCTTCGAAATCTTCCTATGTTCTTCTGATTAATTTCGTTGCGGGGTCCAATGACAGTTTAACTTTCCCCCGGGACAAACTTAGCCTTCACTGGTTGGGTTTTATTGGCGGTCAAGATGTAGATCCTGGCTACATAGGAGTTGCAGCGGTGGGAACGAGAGGTGGGAATAGTCCCGTGTCTACTAAGTACACTTTGTGATATGATATGGCCAAAAACTGTTCTATATTTCCAATAAAAGGTAGCCCTGGTCATCTCGGTGCACGAGTACAAATTACGTCGGATTTCCTTCTCAAGTGCAATGTCGTCGCCGCGTATAGGATGGACGCTCGTGTAAATAATCCATCACCATTATAGTAGTAGTAGGTAGTGATGATTATTGTATAGATTTCGGTTTTTTGGATTCGCCACAGTATACTTTAAAACCAACTTTGAAAAAAAAAACAAAGACATACAAAGAACATATCAGTATGGGATGGGAGTCTTCCCAGTTCGTACAAACCGAAATAAATGTTTAAGTAAATAGTTTGGGTGTTTTTCGGTGGCGTACAAAGCCTTACACCAGGATTATGACCCCATGGCGGTAGCCGTCCAAAAGACTTCGAAGGACACCGTCAGGTTTTAGTGAGATGGCCCTGCCCATCTGGCAGGGAGAGCCCATATAACTCACTGGTCCTTCAGGGCTAGTGGGTAAGCAATTTCATGCATTTCCTGAGGAAAAAAAGGACTATGACCCCGTATAGGTGAGTACCTACTTTTTTATTACACAAAAACCAAGAAGAAATAAGTAGGTAAGTAAGTATGCTCCCCTGATAGCTCACCTAGGTCTTAACAGCTAAACTGGAGATCAGATAAAGGATTTAAAACAATATCACCCTGTGTCGTTATCAGTTATCTCGGTAGGCCCGCGCCCCATATAAGTAAATGGCGCTCTCGGCTCGGCTATTGTTCACACTCCTGACTCCACGAGCTGACAGAAGAAAGATGGCAGCCACAGACGTTGTGAGTAAAAGTTTGTGTTTTGGATTTTTAGCGAGAAGATCTATGAGGACATCTATTTTGAGCTTTTTAAAAGGATTAGAGTTGTTTTTTGATTTATTTTCATTTGATTTTATTGGTCACAGAAAAAGTATCAACAGTAGCTTCAATGAGGAGGTTAAAAATAAGAATGTTTGTATTTCGTTTTGGGTCTAAGTCCACATACAAAAGTTTCTTCTTTCTTTCCAAATAATATTAGGTATATTAGAATTATTCTGAAATCTAGTTAGATATTTTTAGTTAATTAGCTCAAACTCTTTTTAATTATCATCCTAATTTACTTAACCCAAATTAGACAGAGCTAAAATACATTAGATAAATAATATGACTAATTTAAAACATAGTAAACACTCGTGCTTGCTTTATCACGCAAAAATTTACTTGCAACCTTCCAAAATCAACTTTATTTTCTCCCCAGAAATCCCCAATATCAATGATCGACCCGTCGCAACTGCTGCGACCCGAACCCACGTTCCACGATAAGCCTCTGGATGCCTTCCGCGACTACTCCGTCGACGACTCCGACCCGATCAAGGTGCGCGTGCGCAGGACTTATTACACCATGCACACTAACGTCACCGTGGACCTTGTCAAACGTGAGTACAGCCCTCTAGACAAATGAGGTTAGGCCCTTCGCCCACGGCGACTTTTTGTAGCGATACTGTCGCACGTTTGCATCGATACAGTCGCAATGCGGTCGCTAGCTGTGTGCCCTCGCCCACATTTTAAACGCGCTTCTGTCGCGATGTAAACGCAGTACTGTCGCGATACAAATCAAGGAGTGCGTGCGGAGGACCTACTACACCATGCACACACATTAACGTCACCGTCGACCTAGTCAAACGTGAGTGACTACAGCCCCTAACACTAAGTATATCTAGTATACATAGCCCCCTATACACAGTAACACCCGTGCGTGAGCCGTTCATTCTTCATCTTTAAAAACTAGCTGTTACCGGCAGCTTCGCCCACATGAATTTCGATTAAGTAGTCACTGAAAAACTATCGCCCGATATCACACTTATTAAATCCTTTTTAAAAACCGCGATAAGCCTAGGTTTTACTTTTAGGTGACTTTTAGTCGGCCGATAGTTGGACCCGATTCTAATTTGTATGAAGGAAGAATCGGCCGATACCAAATCGGTGTAATGCGCTCTTTCATACATCTCCATACTGATTAACAGCCCGACCCAACTATCGGCCAACTAAAAGTCGATAGTCTGCGCCTAGGCTTAAAGTTTTTTTTTTTTTACCTGGGTCTCAAATTATCTCTTCACCACCTTTCATCTCATTGGTTCAGTGTTAAAGAGTGAAAAGGCACAAATCATTATTTTTCTGCTCGAGATAATTAACTGATGATTGATGAGATTTTAACCATGACAATTTACAGTCAATTGAAGCCACAACTTTAGTAAAATGTTTACGTTGTTAAATTAGTTGTCTCGAAAATAAAAACCGAACAACTACTATCCATTTTAATAGTTGCAATTTCGTAATCGCTGTGCTCCAGCGTCTTTTTTTGCATGTTACTTTGCTCCGTAAACCGATTTTGAAAATAAAATTGCAACTTACCTACTTAGGAGGGTATCGCCCGTATTCACAAACATTCTATGAGGTCTCACAGTGCGCGTGGACGCACAGGGTGACACACGAACCAATCATAGAGCCCTTCAACGCTGTGTGATCGATTTGCTGCTTCACTTATTGCAAGCATCGTTTGTTGATACGGGCGTGAGTCTTACTTCAACCTTGTTTCTCAACAGAAAAGCGCGAAAAGTGGCTCAAGTTCAACCACTTCAAGGCGACCATCAAGGAGGCGCTGACGAAGCTGAACGAGCTGGTGGACGAGTCCGACCCCGACACCGACCTGCCCAACATCGTGCATGCCTTCCAGACGGCTTAAACTGAATCTGAAACTGAGACCAGTAATGCCTGCAACACCAGTATTTTGATTCATCAGACTTGGTTGACCTTACGAGTGTACTGGGACTGAATGAACATTGATGATCCTGATGGATTGCTGGAGATGCCGAAAATAGATACTAATGAATTGTTTCCAGTCGAAGAAAAGCGTCGAGGAAAGAAGAGGAAGATAAAAGAAGGAGATACGAATAGTAGGGAAAAGTCAAAGAGATCAGGTGACGGAAAAAGAAGCAACCTAAATGAGTTCCATGTTCAATTGATAGTGGACCTTTATGATGCACATAAAAGTATTTTTTATTATTTTTAGAGTAAAGACTATAAACTTAAATGCATCTTTCAGTTAAATTTTCACTATCCTGTATATGTTCTCACTTCCCTGTCCATCGAAAATAGAAAAACCGCTATAAAATCAATATTTATCATAATTTTGTCTGGCCCGTTAAAAATTGGATATGTTGTAGTATATTCTCGGTCTTTAGTCACTGTTTATACTGATTACTAACAAAAACTGGAGATTCATTTTATGGTCCTAAATAATTCCACCGTGAGTAGAACTACCCATATTTATTATTGATTAGGACTAATGTATACCATTATTTATAATTATGGAGTCGGTGTTGAAAGATTTGAAGATTTTATAGTTTCCTTGAGCTGTCACTTGACAGCCTGGCACACTTTTACGATGGTGGATCAAAGTATTTTGGTTTGACTATAGAGCGTGAGAACACGCACACAGTCATAATTATTTTAGTGTGAATAAAACTAGCATCGAAATTACCTAAACTTGACATGCCACGCTAGACGTAAACGCTCTTAAAGTCGATTACATAATGCACCAAAGAAAAAAAAAACATTGAACTGAGTCGGTATCTTGTAATTAAGATAAAAAGCGATACAAACTAAAAAGTTCAGATAAAAATAAAATAATTGCGTTTTATGATCTCAATCCAAATACAACACAATCATCATGACGTAGGACGTTTCATATTGTAAACTAATAATTAAATTCGCATATGCGTCTCGATAACCCGCAATTAGACGCCGTGAACTTGAGACGTGATCTTGATACTTGATCGTGATCTTGTGACGCGTTATCTCCGGACCTATCCTCGCCACTAGATGAAATTCCTATTTTACTGATTTCAATTTTGTCTCGGTCTTTAAAAGGGTGACCATGTTTTTTTACACACGGCCACACTGTTAACTACCTATCCATTTCCGTTTTTGCTCTCGCTCTCACCAAATGGTGATTCTTTGCGATAGAACGAGATGACATGACTGGCAATGGGCAGTTAACACTGTTGCCGATAGTACATAAAGCTATTGCGATATCTATGACTTGTATAATTTCATCAAAATCCGTCCACTCGTTTTAATGTTACTACTAGGCAGAACCTAGCCCACGCAGTGCATTTTGCAAAATTGAAATATAGTTGGTAAAGTTTCATGTCATTTATTTAACTCTTAACTTTTCGAGCACAGACAGCTCTATTTAATTTTAAGGGCTTTATTTAACCCTTAAACAGACCAAGCAACCTTCTTACCACAAGACAATAAAGTGGTAACTATATTCCCATTCGTTAAATGATATTCCCATTGTCTGTTAAAGGTGATGGCGTTCTACGACGAGCCGCAGTGGTGCGTGGTGGGCGATACGTTCCCCGTGGGCTGCCGATGGGCGAAATCCATCGTGTACGGGCCTGAGAGCTTCAAGGACAACCCCGACACATACAACCCTAAATACAAGTTAGTCTTTACATTATTAAATCATTATTAGATTAATTTCAGGGACGGAATTAAAAAAACAACAACATAAATATGTAACGGGTTCAAATTGATTCAAACACGAAGAATGACTGGCTGAACCTCATCTTTTGGATCAAAGAATCAAAAAATGAGTTTGACTCGAGCATTGAACGTCATTTCATAACTTAGTAGCCTACGAACCCTAAATTCTCTAGTCTTTTGAAAATTAAAAATCTTTATTCAATTTTGTTCGATACTAATGAGGGCTATCGTTTTAGCGCTCACCAGTTAGCGCCACTGTAGAGTAAGGTCCTGTCACTTGCTAGTAGCGAAGACAGTGGCACCAACTGGTGAGCGCTAAAGTGGTAGGAGGACTATCGCATTTGTACTCATCATGATGGCGCCACTGTAGAGTAAGGTCCTGTCAATCGCCAGGGGTGCCAACTGTTAAGTATAAAAACGAAAGCCCTCATTGGCATTTACTTATAATTATATTCTTAATTTTTTTCGCTAAAATATCAATACTAAAATTTAGCTTGGAAGACTGGGCACAGTGCCATATAAAAGACATCATTGGTTGACCGGATTACTTACACACGCCAAGTTGTGGACACAGAAACATTAAAATTGTTTGAAATAAATTATAATGTTTTCACCTACTTAATTATAACGCTCCTACTTACACAGCACAGAGTACGGCATGTACCAGGCGCGCTGCGGGCTGGACGCGCTACTCATGTCGTGGAGCCACGACGAGTACCTCTACCAGTTCCTGCTGCACAACAAGGCTAAACTGCCCGAGAAGGCGCTTTACATGATCAGGTAAATCATGAGCTTAGGACCTTAGGATATATTTTTTAGAAATTTATAGATCGTGACATCCACGAAGACGCTCCCCACCAATTTCTGGTCGAGGGAAGCGCAAGGTGCGGCGAGTTTGATCCGAGCAATCCGAGCGTCATTATTGTAGTGTGCGTGTGCACTTATGGATATTTTAGCGTGTACCGATAACACTCAAACATTGGTGGAAGAATGGTAGGGCGCGTCTTCGTGGATGACACGCACACGATCTATACTTACTTTATAGCACACCGCAATTCGAACACGCGTTCTTCGTATATCGAGTCGGCAGTTCGATCCCTTCACTATTTGGCTATTGTGGCTCCAGAATAAATGCTCAATTATTATTATTAGTTTTTGCAACCAATGAACAACTAACTTTCAGTTACAAAACATATAATTTCTTACCTCCATGACCGTTTATTCTGGTACTTCTGGCACATAAATGAGAAAGATCACAGAAATTCAATCATTTTTGTGTAAGCAGCTATCGTGTTGTTTAAATCGTCGTAGATGTGCGACGTAGTTTATAGTGAATTTATTAAGTTAGAAAAATAGTGCTTGTCTAAAACTTATTAAAATGTATTCCATTATTTGTCAGGTACCACTCGTTCTACCCGTGGCACGCAGGCGGCGACTACCGCCACCTCACTAATGAGAAAGATGAGCAAATCCTGCAGTGGGTGCTAGAATTCAAGTGAGTTTCAATTTTTGTTAATCCTTATAGCATTTACCCTTCAAGTACCAGCGTCATGCGACCGCTTAGGGTTGGAAATACAGTTTTGTGTAGTGAATACTATACTAAATATAGTTTTTATTTATTTATTTGATTGTCAAATGCTATTTACTTACTTACACACATGGTAGTTTTGTGTGTTTAAGGAAACAACTTTATAAATGCAGTACTAAATGGTACTTACTTTTAATGCATTATATTTATTAATTTATATTTTAGCAAATACGACCTGTACACGAAGAGCGAAAAGGTCCCGGACATCGACGCCCTCTGGCCGTACTACGAGGGACTAATCGACAAGTACATTCCCGGGGTACTGGAGTGGTGATTTCTTATGGGTACAGCAAGTTTAACCAAGATTGTCTTTAAGTACAGCTAGATTGACCATCCACTCGTATTTTTTATGCAAGGGTTATTGTCCTACCAGTAAATTTGTAGATTATATCTCATAAGTGGTACATACAGTGCATAAGTTTTGATTTGACTTTAATAACCTAACTCACAATATCCAATTTTTTTTCTCGTCTGTCTATGCTCAAGATAAATAAAAAAAAATGTTTTTAAGAAATAAATTGTCATTACTTGTTTAAGGGTTAAAAACACTAAAAGTATATTTGATAAATTGTAAAATTATGAAATTACTACATTGTTATTTAAGAGATATTTGGTGCTATGAAAATTACGTATTATTATGTATGTATTTATATAGTGATTTTATCATTATGTTTTAAAACATAGTTTTATTGTTACAAAAACATATTGACTGAAAAAGAGAATGTATTGTACATATTTTGAATATTGATATTTTTATTTAAATGTAAATAATTTGTAAATACTATGGTGTTTTATTATCTCAAACTTAATTACTCCTCCTTTTTTGAACATTTTTGTCCTGGCAAATGCCGAACTGATATTATGGGACGTAAAGAAGTATGTAGTAGAATATAACAGTTAACTGAATGTCACATTTAATTAACGATTTTTAAAGATGGATAGTGTA